CATTGATAGCAATGAAAATTGTATTGTAATTTGGGGGGGGGCAGAAATCTCCAGGTTGGTATCTGGATGGCCCATAAATGTGGGTCCATGTTGCAGACCTTAAACAGAGCTGCTTTACAGACAGTAAAACTCCATGTAATTGTGAATTGTTGGTTTCTGTCGGGGATGGGGTGTGTCAGCGTTGGGGAAAAACCCCCAGCATTTCACCAAGTTTCATAGAGGATGAAATGTCTCTCATCCGTAGGGTGACCAACTTATCCTGGTTTGCCTGTGACTTTTCCTGTTTTAAAAGTGAACTGCGTGTCCCAGGAGAACCCCTCAGGCCCAGGAGACCAGGGTGGTTGGTCTCCCTGCTCATCCAAATGCTCGCTCCCCATTGCTGAGGAAACCGTGTTCATTTCTGGTTTGTGGTTATTGTTGCTGTTTGCATTTTAGGTTCCACCAAAGCAGCCCCTAGCCTGCTTGATTTCTGCCAGCCTGCAGTGGGGAGCCTTTGGTGGGGAGGGAGAGGGGCCCATGGAGACAACAGTCAACCCCCCGAATCATTATTGCCTGCACAGTCCATTCAATCCTTTTGGGCCAATCTCCTGAAAGAGAGTGACCCAAAGGGCTTTTAATTAAAACCAAATCCCATACTGGTGATGCTCTGGGGTTTCCTTGGAATGAAGACATTATATGCAGCAGAAAGCTGGGCATCTGTTTCAGTAATCCTATACCTCTCCGTTGAGTTAATAGGGAGACCCTGGCAATAAAGCACAAGAAGCCTCATTGTCTGGGAAACTGGAGAATTATGAATGAGGCCAATGCCCCAGGGCAGCTGACCAAAGGGAAGGGAAGAAAAAAGGGCCAAAGTTTCGCCTAAAGCCCAAAAGACCCCCAACCCAGTGAGAGTTATTATGAGAGTTGAATGTACCAGCTGGGGCGGGGGGGGGGATTGGTGGGGCAGAGCGTGTCTACAAAGGGCTTTGGGATCCCCTTCCCTCAAAACCTGTTGGAATGTGTGCCTTTTGGTGTTTGTAGGTTTCAAAAGTTTCAGTTTGTTTTTGCCCTGGGCAGTAAAATGAGCATAATTGTTTGCAAAGCTGGTTGTGGAAGTCCCCTTGTGGGTTAGAGGATCCATTTGCTTGACAAGCTAGACAATACCAGGGAAATCTATAAGAAAGAATACAGGGGCGCCTATAAAATAATCTCAGGAAACCGTGGGTGGGCATGATGGGGGTTCCCTTCAAGTTCCTGTTAATACCCCAAGAGGGTAGTATCCCATCATTGGGGTGTGGGCTGCCCGAGAGTCAGGTGAAGCAAAAAGGGCAGCCCCCAGTTTTCATCTGATTTGACCCATAAACAGATTTTGAAGGGTTCCCCCCTCCTTCCACTTGACCTGAAGGACCCATCCCCACCTGTTTCCCCCCCCAGTTCCTCCCCTCCTGGCAGCTTCCGTCTCCTTTCCCCCTCATCTCTCCACCCTCTCTCACTAAAAAAACAGTCTCTTCCGTTGCTTTTTCTTTTAAAAATCATTTATGTGCAGAATTTCAAACACATACAAAAGCAGACATAAGAGTATAATGAGCCTCATGTGCTCACCACTCAGCTTCCACTGGCAAACCCATCCTCACCTCCCACCTCCCTCCTCCCCTATTATTTTGAAGCCATCTCTCAAACACCACATTTCTTCTGTAAATATGTACATGTGTCGCTTGGCGAACTTTTTCAGCAAAGGAACAGAGAAGAAATATTTTCGGCTTTGTAGACCACACTGATCTCTGTTGCACTGACTCAGCCCTGCCACTGAAGCTCGGAAACAGCCACAGATGATACTGGCATGAACGGGCCTGGCCCGATTCCCTTACAACTTTGCTATGGACACTAACATATAAATTTCGTACATGAAATTTCCATGTGTTGAGAGATACTGCTTTTTTTTTTTTAAACTATTTAAAAAAATAGCTTGTGAGGGGCACCGGGGTGGCTCATTCGTTGGGCGTCTGCCTTCGGCTCGGGTCATGATCCCAGGGTCCTGGGATCGGGCCCCGGCCCCGCATCGGGCTCCCTGCTCAGCGGGAAGCCTGCTTCTCCCTCTCCCACTCCCCCTGCTGTGCTCCCTCTCTCGCTGTGTCTCTTTCTGTCAAATAAATAAATAAAATCTTAAAAAAAAATAAAATAAAAAATTAAAAAATAGCTTGTGAGCCCCAGAAAACCAGGCGGCTTGTTAGAATTTGGGTTGTGGTTTGGTGACCCCTTGTTGGGGGAGGTCATTTGAGAGATCACAGGACTGTCGGGTGCACCCGTGAGCTGGCGCCTGGTAATCGGAGGCTCCTCATCCCCTCCCCTGTCCTTGGAATGTGCACGGTGCCCACCATTCCCACACTAGGAGCCGTTTCAAGGAAGCAAACTCCAGGCAGCGAGTAGTAGGTCTCCAGGTTTCCACACAGTAGGTCTTCAGGTTGCCCACAACTTCTGTGTGAGGTGGCTGTGTTGCCAGGTGAACTTAGGGAGACCCCAGGCCCTGGGGCCTCGACCCAGCCAGACCCGAAGGAGTCACCGAAGGTTCTTGGTCCTGTCACGAGAATGAACTCGAGGAAAGACCCACAGCTCGGTGGATGACTTAACACGAGCGGGAAAGTTTATTAAAGTGCAAAGCACACTCTCGAGATATGAGAGCAGTGAGAGAGAGAGAGAGAGAGAGACCGAGCACACTCAAGAGACAGCTGCCTGTCGTGAGGGTCGGGTTTCTATCCTTTACTGACAGTTGTCAACTCAGGGGTGAAAGAGTCATGACTTGGGGTGGCAAGCAGGGTTTTGTGATTTTACTTCCTCATTTGGCCAGGGGTTTCCTGTCATGGCATCCACCATCTTGGGCCTGGCTGGTTTGATCCGGCTTCTCGTGGCGTGCTGCCAGGACAGGCCTCTGACCTTCCCGATAGCTGGCCACGACCTCCTCGTTGCTGGCCTCCAGGCATCCTGTCAGAACCTCACCAACTGTCCAACAGCTACAAATCTGAGGTTCCCACAACCTCTTCCTCAGGTTTGGTCAGTTCGCTTGAGCAGCTCACAGAACTCAGGGAAACACTTTTACCAGTTAATGAGAAGATATGATGAAGGATACAGATGAAGAGCTAGATGAAGAGATACATAGGGCAAGGTCTGGGAGGGTCCCCAGTGCCAGAGCTTCTGTCCCTGTGGAGTTGGGGTGGGTCACCCTCCTGATGTGGATGTGTTCACCAACCTGAAAGCTCCCAAGCCCTGTACTATTGGGATTTTTTGGAGGCTTTGTCGCACAGGCATGATCAATTATTAACTCCATTTTCAGCCCCTCTCTCTCCTCTGGAGGATGGAGGTGGGACTAGAGAAGAATGGCTTGGTTTTTCTGGTGACCAGCCCCCATCCAGGAGCCCACCAGGAGCCCACCCAGAGTCGCTTCAGTGGAACAAAAGATGCTCCTAGTACTTTTACCACGTAGGAATTTACTAAGGTTTTGGGAACTCTGTGCCAGGAACCCAGAGCAGAGACCAATATATATTTTGATGTCAATGGTTTCCTTTCTCTTAGAAGCTCCGTCTTGTGCTACCTGTTGTCCAATGTCTGGAAGCCTTCGCTTCATTGTTTTGGTTGGTTTTCTAATTATTTAAGGCAGGAGGGTTTATCTCCTTCCATGAGACCTGGAAGCAAAAGTCCAACTTATTTTTATTGATGAGTGATGTTCCATTGAATGATACGTATTGAGCCTTTCACCTCTGCCTAGACAATTGAGTTGTTTCCGGTTTTGGGCTATTATGAATGAAACTATACAAGTGTTTGTGTGGATGTAAGTTTTAATTTCTCTTGGATAAATACCCAGGGGTAGAATTTGTGGATCATAGAGTATTGCCTATTTAACTGTATAAGACACTGCCAAACAGTTTTCCAAAGAGGTTCTTCTTGCTCCACATCATCATCAATACTTGGTATTGTCAGTCTTCTTAACTTTTAGCCATTCTAGTATATGTAGTGGTATCTTTTTTTTTTTTTTAAGATTTTATTTATTTATTTGACAGAGAGAGAGAGTGAGCATGAGCAGGGGAAGGGGCAGAGGGAGAAGGAGAAGCAGGCTTCCTGCTCAGTGGGTCTTGATCCCAGGACCCTGGGATCATGACCTGAGCTGAAGGCAGACACTTAACTGACTGAGCCACCCAGGTGTCCCTTTTTTTTTTTTTTTTTAAGATTTTATTTTTAAGCAGTATGTACACCCAATGTGGGGCTCAAACCTACGACCTCGAGATCAGGAGTTGCATGCTCTACCGAATGAGCCAGCCAGGCGCCCCTATGTAGTGGTATCTAATTGTGCATTTCATTTGCATGTTCCTGATGACTAATGATGCTGATAATCTTTTATGGGTTTACTGGCCATTTCTTTTGTTTAAAATGAAACTTAAGTTTGTATCTTTTCTTGCCTCTATCTTCTACTTACTGAATTGTAAGAGTTCTTTTTATAGTCTAGATATAAACCCCTTGTCAGATAGAACAGAGCCCATGCTTCTAATCACTCCTCTCTGCTGGATTAAGGAAACAGGAGGAGGTGTGAGGACATAAACAGGCCATTGTCATCAAGGAGAGAGATGATTGTGTCTTTGACTAGCACAGGGGTTTAGATGGAGCAAAGTACATGGAATTTAAAATGTAGTTTTAAAAAGAGCTCAAGGGGTTCTGGGCCTATTTGTTTTTTCCTTTTGTCTTCTGAATGTTCTCTTTCTTTTTTAAAAAAAGATTTATTTATTTTAGAGAGAGAGAGAGCTTAGGGGAGGGAGCAGAGGGGGAGGGAGAGAAATCTCCAAGCAGACTCCCCATTGAGTGTGGAGCCCGACTCGGGGCTCCATTCCAGCCCCCTGAGATCATGACCTGAGTCGAAATCAAGAGTTGGACGCTTAACTGGCTGAGCCACCCAGGTGCCCCAAGTCTTCTGAATGTTCTTAAATATATTTTAAAAATACAAACCTGAATCACTTCTGTGCTTGAATTAACTACAGGAGGATGTCCCAGGAACCTAGGACATATTTTCTTTTCCTGTTCCTTTTTCTGAGCCATGGCGTGGCAAGTCATAGAGTTCCAGATTCCAGGCAGGGTAAGTCCTGAGGGAGGAATAATCTGCCATAGTTTCCACACATCTCAGGGAAGATAGTGGGATGGATCAACTTAGGTACAAGGTGCTGTAGAGTATCCGGGGTGTGTGCATACATGTGAGTGTGTGTGTGCATGCACACATATGTGTAGGATTTTCAGGATTATTCTAAAAGGGTTTTCAAACCAGGGTTTTCTCACCCTGGGGACACAACAGCACAGGTATAATTAAAATTCACTAAATTTTTCCTTCACGAGTGACTTTTTTTGGGGAGGGATCTTTTCCTAACCCATATGTATATTTCTTTTTTTTTTTTTAAGGATTTTATTTATTTACTTGTGAGAGAGAATGAGAGAGAGAGAGAGAGCATGAGAGGGGGGAGGGTCAGAGGGAGAAGCAGACTCCCCGCTGAGCAGGGAGTCCGATGTGGGACTCGATCCCGGGACTCCAGGATCATGACCTGAGCCGAAGGCAGTCGCTCAACCAACTGAGCCATCCAGGCGCCCCATATGTATATTTCTGAAGATTACAAAATTCAATTCTAGTTATACCTTCAATGGCTTTCTTACAGATTTGCATCCACTGTTGCAAAAAATGGCGGTGAGTATCCCATTTTCTTTTAATCTAAATCTCTTCTACTGGAACTGCCAACTTTTGGATGTTTTAGTTCACATTATTTCTTTGCCTTTTAGGAAGAAATAATAGATGGAAGCTATCTGAATGGTAATGTCCCCCCTCTGTCCCCACTTTGCTGCTTCTAAAAATTTCAGACAGAATGTGCCTGTGATCTCTCTGGAATGATTCTTTTAAAGCTGTCTTTTTATTTTATTCCCGTGTAGCATTACTGGATCTCATACAGTTTCAAAGGTAACCCACCCTAGAGGGGAGGGGAAAGGATGGGCTAGATGTCCGATAAAACTTCCTAAGGGGGGGGGGGTGGCGTCTGGGTGGCTCAGTCGGTTAGGTGTCTGCCTTCGGCTTGGGTCATGATCCCAGGGTCCTGGGACTGAGTCCTGCGTCGGGCTCCTTGCTCAGCGGGGAGCCTGCTTCTCCCTCTCCCTCTGCTTCTCCCCCTTCTTGTGCTCTCTCTCACTCTCAAATAATAATAATAAAAAATTCCTAAAGGGACGTCTGTTAATTGTAAAAAGTAATGTGTATGTACATATGCATTACAAAAAAAACATCAACCAGTGCACAGGTGTTTTAAAGCAGATACATTTGTTTCACAAACTTTTATTCCTCTCTGTTCTGGTACAACTGCTAACATTTATTGAGTGTTTACTATGTAGCAGTCCCATTCTTAGCACTTCATAGAGACATATCCAATCCTCACAGATCCCCCAGGGAAGGTCCTGTTGTTTTCCCATTGGACAGAATAGTGAAACTGAGGCACAAGGAGGGTGAATCAAGGTCATGCAGCTGGGAGGTGTGGTGGAGCTGAGGGGTGTATCCAGTAGTGGGGCTCCAGGGCCCATTGCCCTGTCGTGTTATATACTGCATACAGAATGGTGTTAGATAACGGGGATGGGGGGCAGGGCACTAGAGAGTCTTGTGGAAAGACAAATATTAACAGATAATTCTAATATGATGAATACTATGAGGGGGAAAATGGGGATTTGGGGGCCCATGACAAGGGCACTCAATTATGTTAAAGTGAAAGAGTCCCCATAAACATTCTTCTTCCTAATGTAACTAACTCCAGTTGATAGTTTTGGATATATTCTTTCAGGCTGAAATCTGTCTGTCTGTCTATCTATCTATCTACCTATCTGTCTATTTTTGTGTTCATTTATTCATCCATCTACTTATTTAGTAACAAAAATGGGATTATAAAGGCCTTCCAGTTGTTGAAGGCAGGAAGATTTATCTGCGGCCAGTTACTCCATCATAGCTGGAAGCTGAAGTCCAACTCATTCCTTTTTTATTGATGGGTGACTTTCCACTGAATGGACGTATGATATTTATTTAACCTTTTGCTTGTTGTTGGACATTTGGGTCATTTCCAATTTTTGGCTGTTCTGAATGAGATTGTGCATTTTCTATGTGGTTGGGTACTGTTTTAAGCACTTTACATGTGTGAACAACTAGAATCTTCACAATTTTTAGCTATATCACATAGAAAGGGAAACTGAGGCACAGGAAAATTCGGTAAATTGCCTGAGGCCACACAATTAAGTGGCAGAGCCAGGGTTTGAATTCGGGTTTTGAGTTCACACTCTTAACTATGCTATTCCAGCCTCTCATGATATACATTGTATCTGCTTTTTAAATTTAGCATAGTAAGGACATCTTTCCAAGTCAGTTTGTTTGGATTGTAGTTAATCCAAGTGGATTGTTACAGGAATTAGAATATTGCACACAGCTCAGAAACTGATAATTGTCTTTGAGAGAATGGGATCCTGGAAGATTCTTAGATTGGGGAACTTCCCCACCACTGTGCCAGGTTAACAAATCTCCTACCTCTCCAGACAAGAGGTTCCTAGCATCCCCGGCCCATTCCCCACATCCTGTCTGAACTCTGGTCTCCTGGCCACTTGGCAAGTAGGAGAACCACTCATCATAGGGGAACCTGTCATTGTGACCTTCTCCTGTCTTCAACTGAAGCTCCCATGGGTGGACGGCAGACCTGTCTCACAGAATCCTGGCCTATCTGAATTCACGGAATGTCGCCTTCACCATCCCCAGCCTGCAGGTGTGTACCTGAGACTCATCCCTGTCATGTATTTCCCTCTCAGCACTCCAGGGTTGTAAACTCAGGGGCCAGGTAGGATGGGGAAGTGGACTATAAGGTATAGAGCTAGTTTTCACTTCCACAAGGAAACGTGTCCTGTCCAGTTGTTTTGAAACATGACACAAGTTCTTTTGTGTTTTTCCTCCTTTCTGCCTCTGCTGGAGACTTGGTGTATTAGGGTGTAGGCTGGGCTGCTGTAACAAAGAGACCCCAAATTCCAGGGACACAAACAATGTAGTTTATCTCTATCTCTTGTTAGACAGTTCAGAGCTCGGTGGGAGATCCAGAGAAGAGAGGAAGCTCTCTTTCAAAAGACTATCCAGGGGTCCAGCTTCCTTCTACCTGGTTGCTTTGTCATCCTCTAGGGAGTTGTTGCCCACGTGATTGAAATAGCACATCTATTCTCCAGTTCAGGAGAGGGGGTAGTGGGAAAGAGGAAGCAAAGGGCGAGCATCTTCTCTTTAAGGACATGACCTGCAAGTTGCCCCCTTCTTCCTGCCCACATCCCATTGGCTCATAGTCCACAGTCACATGTCAGCAGTAAGAAGAGAGGCCTTTCTGAGAAGCCACCTAGTCTGCTAAAACTTGTGGGATTCTTTTGCTAAACAGAATTACAGGAGACTGGCTCTTTGGGTGTAATGATCAGTCTCCTGATTATGGGTTCAAAAAATATTTTTCTTCCCTTTTAACTCTACTGTAAGAAAAACAGTAGCGCAGGCATGGTAATAGATGATGAAGATTTTTGTGGAGCAGTAGGGCTTGCCGGGGACTGTGGCAAACTGGACAGCATGTGCCTCATCAGCATGACCGTCAGCCCAGGGTGGTATGTCGTATCTTTACCATTATACTGTGAATAGCACAGAAAATTGAGGAGATATTCTTTCAGTATTCAAAAACTCTCCGACTCAGCAAAGAAGTCATGTCATTGACGAATGAAGTTGGGACATCTGAATGAATGAAGTTCTGACATCTGAATGAATGAAGTCCTGACATCTTCATTGTTCCAATTTTTATTTACTTTATAATGAAAATGAAAATATCAACCAACATTCACATGAGAGCTACATTCAGGGAGTTGGTTGCTAACCCTTTACCAGGACACCCATTACCTGGAGGTGGCGGTTGGCCTCATGGCATCTGCTTTCTTTCTTCTCTTCATCAGTCTGTGGCTACCTAAAGGCAAGTAATATGCCTGCCCCTTTTCTCTCCAGCAGTGTTTTCTCATGAGATGTGTATATTTTAACCTGACTAGTAGATATCTTCTCTCTCTTCCTTTGTATAAATTTATTTATTCATTCAGTATCTACTTATCTAACCTCTGATCTCTGCCAGGCATTATTCTAGACACTGGAGACTCAGAAGAGAACAAGGCAGTCACATTACTACCTACATGGGCCTTTCATTCTAGTGGGAGAGTCACTGAGTAAATCATTATTCAACGCATGCAAGATAGGGAATAATGGGTGACACTTATTGATCTATATGCTAGGCACTGTTGAAAACACTTTACACACACTCCTTTCATCCTCATAAAAACCCTACGTAGTAAGTTTCTACGGTGTCTATTTTTCAGCTGAGAAAACTGAGGCCCCAAAGTAGTGTTGCCTGTTTAGCAAATAAAAACACAGTATTCCCGGGGCACTGGGATGGCTCAGTCGGTGGAGTGTGTGACTCTTGATCTTTGGGTTGTGAGTGTGAGTTCTACGTTGGGTGTAGAGGTTGCTTAAAAAAAAAATAGAGTGTTCCCGGTTCAATTTGATTTGCAGATGTACAATGAATAATTTTTTCAGTATATATCCCATGCAATTTTTGGGACATACTTATGTCGAAAAATTATTCACTGTTTAACTGCAATTCAAATTTAACTGGGCATCCTGTGTTTTATCTACCAATCCTAGTTAAATAACTTGTCCCAGGCCACACAGCTAGTCGGTGGCAATGTGGGGATGTTCCCATGGGTTGTCTGGCTCTAGAGCCCAGCTTTGCACATGCCATCACAATATGCTGCCTCTCTAGAGCACTTTTATTTAACGGAGATTTAGAAAATAATTCCCCAGACAGCAGAGGTAATCTCTTTTAGGAGACGCTTTTGTCCTCTCCTCCTCACTTCTGAGGGGATGCCAAGAGGGAGTTTGTTCATGCTGCCTGAATTTTGCTTCTACGCTGGTAGCTTGGGGCGTGGGAAAGGGTTTGAGCCGTGCCAGTCGGGGGGTGGTAAACTGCCTGGACAGAGGCCAACTGCTCTGGACTTGAAACCCCAATCACCTATAGGGACCAGGCAGGCCACGGGGAAATCGGCTGGCTGGGTGGGTGGTGAAGAGGAGCTTAATTATGGGGAAGAGCTTCTCCCCGGCCTGCTATTCTCACCAGGAAGGGGATACGCCTAGCATTGCCAAATCTTTGTGTTTTCCAAGAGAACTTGGAAGTCTGGATTTTTGTGGGGAATCCCCTGACTTTGAAACGTTGGCAGCTAATGAAAAATTTTGGAGACATCCAAACCAAACATGAGGGCTAGCTGCCAGCTGGTGGGCTCTGCTGGGAAGGAGGTGGCCTGGCTGGGCTGCTGGCCGTGGTGCTGACCATGTGCTCCTGTTCTGTCCTCACTGTGTCTTCTCAACACCCCAAATCCAGGCAGCCGTGGAACACCACCTGGAGCAGCGTCTGTACCAGCCCCAGAAGCTGCTGGAGGACCTGAGGGAAACAGATGCTCAGCAATTCTGCACCGCCATGAAATGCCTCTTAGAAGACAAGAAGGACCTCTTGGTGAGGTGTTTTTGGCACCCCGGGAGTAGGGGAAATCCAGAGCCAGATGGTATTTGTTGAGTTGACTCCAGCTGAGCCTGACTCAGGCCTTCTTTATGTCTTCCTCCCACCTTCTCCCTTCAACCCCCCGCCCCCACCAGGAGCTTGCAGACCTTGGCTTTCTCACTTACTTTTTCCAAAGTTCAAATGAAGAGCCTTATGGTATATATTCTTATGGGAACTAAGAGATGAGGGGTACCAAGGAGCTTCTAATAGTTTGGCTCAATAAACATCCATAAATGATTACTATGCATCAGTGGACACTGGGTTGAAAGATGAACGACAACCCCTGCCTTCAAGGAGTTTACAGTCTGGGGGTAGGAAAAAAACCCAGAAATAGATTTCCACAAAATAAAGTTGGCGATCAAAGAGCATCATCACAGAGCAAGGTCTATGAGACCCAGAAAAATCCTTGGGACCCAGAAAGGTGAGGTTTAGAGTTTTCTTTATCAGAGACACTTTAATGTGGGAAACAGTGTTTCCTAGAAGGAGTTGAACTGTGTAAACATTTTAGTAGTTACAGACTTACTTTAATGTCTGTTATTAAAATAGAATGGGTACATCCAACCTGTGAGTTTGGTAGAGATGTAATGTTTCCTATTGAAATGAATTTAAGTTTAGGAAAAAAAAGAGTCGGTTAAAAAAAAAAGTCTGAGGTAAATAATAGTAAAGGCAGTGCAAAGGTATGACAAAACTGAGGATACTGGTCTATGAAAATGATATTGATTAATGTTTGTTGAGGGTTTACTATGTGTCAGGTGTTATTCTAAGGGAACATTCAGCAGGCTGTTTCTGTAAAGGACCTGATACTAAATATTTTAGGCTTTGCAGGCCATGTATTCTCTGTCACAGCTGCTCAACTCTGCTGTTGTAGCAGGAAAACAACCATAGGTGGCAGGCAAATGAATGAGCATGGATGTGTTCCAATAAAACTTTATTCACAAAAACAGGCAGTGGGCCAGATTTGGCCTGTGAATCATAGTTTGCCAACACTGTTCTCAGGGTTTAGCGTGCATGGACCAACTGAATCCCTTCCAGGACATTCTGAGATAAGGACAATAATAATCTTACCATTTCAATATTCACATAAGGAAATGGGTTTGGAGAGGTTGAATGAATAACCTTGCATACACAGCTCGAAAGTGGGAGGTCTGACGTTGGAACCTGGGCTCCTGACTCCAGCTGTGAGTCCTTCTGGCATCTCGTGAAGCCCATGGGCCCCTTCTCAGAATAACTTGTGAAAAATCTATAAAATAAAACACAAAGGATTATAAAGGAAGCCAATTCTATTGAAGGACATTTATTAAAATATATAAAACAAACACATTTGGATTATAGTAATTGATGTGCTTAACACATCCAATGACAAGATTTAACTCTGAGTCAAATAGCTTCTGTAATTTTGAGGAGGTATTGATTATAAAGGAGATTTCAAGGTATCTGTGACAACTGTAATGCGTTATGAAAGTTTCAGATTTCTACTGATGACAAATCCAAGGTCCTGCTAGTGCTTTGGTGGCTTATTGTCTACATTCATTCCTGAAGGAAATGCTGGAAGTAAGTTCTGTGGCAGTAAAATGAAGGTGCAGTTTCCTCCAGTGTTTACTTATGCCCTAAATTCTATCCACAGACCTCTGCTGCAGAACTCCTGAGCTGCATTCCTAACCACTACACTGTTTACCCCCAGAGAGTAAATGACCGAAGTTAGGAAACACTCGGTCATGGTTAGAAGTGTGGGCTTGGATGCAGATACACCTGTTTCAGATCCTAGCTCTGTGTAAGTTTGGGAAGGTTGCTTATTCTATCTCTTGTTTACATCACCTGTGATCTTGAGATAATAGCATATAACATTTGTTGAGTGTGTGGTCTTTGCTCAGTCAGTGATGGTTATTATGTTTGCAGGGTGTGCTGGGTGAAAGACAGGTGCCAATCAAATTGTGACCAAGCCCTGTCAGCATTCCTGGGTTCTGTGGTTCAAAAGAATCATTCATTCATTCGTTCATTCATTCATTCATTCATTCATTCATCCTAACAGGCTTTCTCAATATTTTCTGGATACCAGGCATTCCACTAGGCACATGGTGTGGGCCTCAAGGACTTTTCTGGCTCAACCCCTACTGCACACTATGGTCAGCTACCTGGGCTCCACCGAAGAGCAGTTAAATCAGACTCTGTATGGCGGTGCTGGGATCACCTCCCCAGGGATTCTGATGTGTAGCCAGGGTTGAGAACCATTGGCATGGAGGAAAGACAGGCCCATAAGCGTCTCTAATGCATCATAGAGTTTGGCTCAAGGTGCATTTGGGAGCACTTAGTGGAGGGAGATTTGATTTGACCAAAGTAGGAGGACATTTGGGAAGACTTCACCAAGAAGGTGATGACAGTTAAGCTTATCCATGAGGGATGAGCTGGATTTCACTAGAGGAAGGAGGTGGGGAGGGAATTCCAGCTCAAGCATGTGCCTGAGGTGTGAGTCATGTGGTATACCTGGAGAGTGAGAAGTGGCCTAGTGTGGGAGAGGCAGGTGAGGGCCTCAACTTTGTTCTATAATAAATGGAAAGTTCTAGAAGGTTTGACAGAGCAGTGATGTTAAACAGTGGTCCTGAATTTCCCCACTACTAAGTGTGGTTCCTCCCAGGGCTTCCAAATCTAGAGGCCTCTCACAAGACAATCCTAGCTTCTTTCTTTATTTTAGGAGCTGGAAGACATTGTTATTGACTTGGGAGAGATCCGGAAACAAGCCTTGCAGAGCCCTGGTGTGAACCGCAGCCTGTTTCTCATCACCCTGGAGAGGTGTTTCCAGGTGCTGAACTCGCTGGAGTGTGTGGAGATCCTGGGCAGGGTGCTGAGGGGCTCCTCAGGCAGCCTTCTGCAGCTGGACATCGCAGAGAAGCTCCCCCGGGACCTGCGTGAGGACGCTTTCAAGAACCTGTGAGGGTTTCCCCCAGCCCATGAACCCCACTCCCCATTCCTCAGAGGTAATATACGGCAGAGGGGAGAAAGCAAGGGGAGCAGGTTAACATGTGAGGCCTGGAGCAGAGCTTAACATCTGTGGGGTTTAGAAATGGTTTGACTAAAGCAGTGCCTCCCAAATGTCGGTCATTCTGGTACCACCCTCACAATTTTTGCCCTATCTGTACACCACTGATACTATTCTTTACTTGTTTTTTTTTTATAGTGACTCATTATTTTTATTTTTAAAAGATTTTATTGATTTGACAGAGAGAAAGCACAATACAGGGAGCAGGAGAGGGAGAAGCAGGCTCCCCACTGAGCAGGGAGCCTGATGCAGGGCTCAATCCCAGGACCCTGGGATCAGGACCCAAGCTGAAGGCAGATGCCCAACTGACTGAGCCACCCAGGAGCCCCATGACTCATTCTTTTTAATTAACATTTATTTAAAAAGTAACTTTGATATCATTACTATAAGGTCAAGTCATATTGGGACTAAATGGGACTGCTGCGTATGGCAACAAGGAGGTCGTTGGTGACTGGGACCACGAGGAGAGGTGTGGTGGGGAGGGGACAATGTCAGATATCAAATGATATCAAATGATAAATATCAAAATGATATTTATCTGACATCAAAATGTCAGATAAATATTTGCAAATGACATATCTGATAAAGGGTTAGTATCCAAAGTATATAAAGAACTTTTAAAACTCAACACCCCAAAACCAAATAATCCAGTTAAAAAATGGGCAGAAGACATGAATAGACATTTTTCCAAAGAAGACACACAGATAATAGACGCATGAAAAGATGTTCACCATCACTCGGCATCAGGGAAATGCAAATCAAAACTACAGTGAGATACCATCTCACATCTGTCAGAATGGCTAAAATCAACAACACAAGAAATAACAGGTGTGGGTGAGGTTGCGGAGAAAGTTCTTTCTTTATTTTAGGAGCTTCCAGCTCCTAAAATAAAGAAAGAACTTTCACACTCTTGGTGGGAAGGCAAACTGATGTAGCCACTCTGGAAACAGTATGGCGGTTCCTCAAAAAGTTAAAAAGAGAACTATCCTATGATCCAGCATTGCACTACTAGGTATTTACCCAAAGGATACAAAAATGCTATTTTGAAGAGATACATGCACCCCAGTGTTTATAGCAGCAGTATCTGCAATAGACAAATTATGGAAACCACTGAAGTGTCCATCAATTGATGAGTAGATAAAGAAGGTGTGATCATCATATATATATCATGGATATTACTCAGCCATAAAAAGAATGAAATCTTGCTGTTTGCAATGACATGGATGGAACTAGAGAGTATTATGCTAAGTGAAATAAATCAGGCAGAGAAAGACAAATACCATATAATTTCACTCATATGTGGAATTTAAGAAAACAAATGAGCAAAGGGGAAAAAGAGAGAGAGAGAGACAAACCAAGAAACAGACTCTTAACTGCAGAGAACAAACTGATGGTTATCAGAGGGGAGGTGGGTAGGGGATGGGTTAAATAGGTGATGGGAATTAACGTGTGCACTTGTGATGAGCACCGGGTGTTGTATGGAGATGTTGAATCACTATATTGTACCCTTGAAGCTAATATTACATTAGCTAACTGGAATTTAAACAAAAACTTAAAAAAAAACAACAACCCCAAAACCAGATGTCAGATACTAACCAGTGTCGGTGAGGATATGGAGAAAATCAGCACCCTCATATACTATGGGTGAGAATGTGAAATCATGCAGCCTCTTTGGACAACAATCTGGCAGTTCCTTGAAAGGCCAAGGACAGAGCTGTCATCTAACCCAGCAATTCTGCTCCTGGGTATCTATCCAAGAGAAATGAAAATGTCTGTCCGCACAAAAACGGGCACATGAGTGTTTACAGCAGCACTGTTCATAATAGATCAAAGGTGGAAACAACCCAGAGGTCCATCAGCTGGTGAATAGATAAACAAAATGTAGCAGGCACAGGCTGTGGAATAGTATCTGGCCCTGAAAAGGCCATGAATGGAGTGCTAATGCATTGTACAACATGCATGAACGTTGGAAACATCATGCCAAGTGAAAGAAGCCAGTCACAAAGATGACATATCGCCTGCTTCCATTTATCTGAAATGTCCGGAAGAGGCAAATCTATGGAGACAGAAAGTAAATTAGTAGTTTCTAGGGGTTGGGGTGACTCATAGTTGGGGGGTGGTAGCTAAAGGGTATGGTATTTCTTTTTGAGATGTTTATTTTTTTATTTTTTTTTTTAAGATTTTATTTATTTGACAGAGAGACACAGCGAGAGAGGGAACACAAGTAGAGAGAGTGGGAGAGGGAGAAGCGGGCCTCCTGTGGAGCAGGGAGCCAGATGTGGGGCTCGATCCCAGGACCCTGGGATCATGACCTGAGCCAAAGGCAGATGCTTAATGACTGAGCCACCCAGGCGCCCCTCTTTTTGAGATGTTTAAAAAGTTCTAAAATTGAATGTGGTGATGGTTGCACAACTCTGGGAACACCATTGAATTGTACATTTTCAACGGGTGAATTATATGATGTGGGAATTATATCTCCATAAAGCTGTTACAAAAAAAGAAGAGGGGTGCCTGGGTGGCTCAGTCGGTTAAGCGTCTGCTTTTGGCTCAGGTCATGATCCTAGGATCCTGGGATTGAACCCTGAGTCCGGCTCCCTGCTCAGTGGGGAGTCTGCTTCTCCCTCTCCCTCTGCCCCTCCCCCCACTTTTTGTGCGCACACGCATTCTCTCTCAAATAAATAAATAAAATCTTAAGAAATAAAAAAATAAAACAACAGCAACAACAAAAAAGAAGTGACTAAGAGGTGAGGAAGTGGAGAGCACTCTTTGGAAGATATTTAGATGTGAAGGACAGAGGAGAAATGGGCCAATAGCTACACGTAGCAAGGGAGTGGGAAGGCTTTTTAACACAAGACAGCTTTGGGTCCATTGGCTGTTTTGACCCTGTCTCAAGTCCTCCACCTGTTTGTTCCGTAATTGATGCCCATGTTTGTCATTTAGATCTGCGGTGTTCAAAGATCTCTACGACCAAACCTCGGCTCATTCCCAGAGAGCTCTCTACTCCTGGATGACTGGGATTTTGCAGACGTCCTCCAAGGCTACTGGTGAGCCTGGGCTTCGGAGTGGGATCACTTTTCAGGGGGAGTCCATCCTTAAAAGTAGTGCTTCCTCTCTGAAGATAGGGATTTGATTTCATTGTTATTTTTTATTTTTACCCGTCCTTCCCACCTTCCGAAAAGGGTTTGATGTGGTTTATGGAATAAAACACATACCCCAGGGGCACCTGGGTGGCTCAGTCGGTTCAGCGTCTGCCTTCGGCTCAGGTCATGATCCCAGGGTCCTGGGATCGAGTCCTGCATCGGGCTCCCTGCTCAGAGGGGAGTCTGCTTCTCCCTCTCCCACTGCCTTGGCTCATGCTGTCTCTCACTCTAGCGCTCTCTCTCCCAAATAAATCAAATGTTTTTGTTTTTTTTTAAAGATTTTATTTATTTGATAGAGAAAGAGAGAGAGCATGAGTGGCGGGGGGGCGGTGTGTGTGGCAGAGGCCACAGAGGGAGAAGCAGGCTCCCCACTGAGCAGGGAGCCCGATGCAGGACTCGATCCCAGGACCCTGAGATCATGACCTGAGCTGAAGGCGGACGCTTAACTGACTGAGCCACCCAGGTGCCCCAAATAAACAAAACTGAAAAAACCCAAAACAAACCCATACCCTATTCCATCCATACACTTCCCACACGTTCAAGTCTCCAAAATAAGGATGCCTTTGCATCTTAAAATCAATGGGCTGTCCTAGTTTGTAAGTGGAACGTAAATAACGACTGCGTCTTGGATTCAAAGAGAACCTTTAGAGTAAGGTTTCAAGTTCAAAAATCTATCATAAATCTGGATTAGAGTGGGACGCGGTAAATTTTTAAAAGGAAATCTAGGCAATAAAGCACAGAAATTTAGCTCAAAGTTTCCTGGCAGCCGAGGCAGAAGTAGGTCAAGACTCATTTATTTTACAGATATGTATTAGAGGAGTCAAATTCATGGAGCCAGAAAGTAGGAAGGGTGGTTGCCAGGGGCTGGGAGGAGGGGGAAGTGGGGAGTCATTGTTTCTTGGGGACAGTTTTGGTTTTGCGAGACGAAAATGTTCTGGAGGTGGATGGTGTTGATGGTTGCACAGCGAAGTGAATGTACTTAATAGCACGGAACCATCCACTTACAAATGGTTAAGTTAGTAAACTTTATGTTATATTTACTACAACTGAAAAAAAAGAGAAAAGAATGATTGTGTAGATGAGTAATGCAGACAATGTCTCAGATGGCTTCAATTTGTTGAGTTTTTAATGTGAGTCGTGTAAACGGAATAAACTTTTTAAACACTTACCAAATCCTACCGTGAGTCAGCCCCTGGAGATACAGAGGAAAATAAGACAAAGACAAAGTCTCTGCTCTCATAGAGCTCTTGTTTTATTGGGGGAGGGTAGGTGGAGAAAAGTTTTAAACCAGCAAATTAAGAGAGAGAGAGGGCTCAGGCACCAGTAGGTGCTATGAAGAAAATAAAATAAAATGGATGAATGTTATGGAAAGGCTTAGTGCTTTCGACCAGAACGGGACTTGGCCATCGTTTTCCATAAAGGGTCAGAGTAAATATCTTAGGCTCTGTGGGCCTGTAGTCTGGCTCAGTGAATCAACTCTCATGTTCTGGTGCTAAAGCAGATATTGATATCAGGTGAGCAGGCGGGGCTGGGTCCCAGGGGAACCTTATTTATGGGCCTTGAAATTGGGATTTCACAATTGTCACATGCCACAAAATAGTCTTTTGATGTTACTTCCAACTATTTAGAAGCGTAAAAACCAAGCTCACAGCCTCCACAAAAGCAGGTGGTGGGTTGGATTTGGCTGGTGGGCTATGTAGTTTGCCAGCCTCTGGACTGAAGAATCAGAGAGGACCTGACATTTGAATTGAGACCATAATGAGAAAATGGAACGGGTCCTGTGAGGCCTTGGGGGGAAGGGTGTTGCAGGCAGGAGAACAGCAAACACAGAGGCCCTGGGGTGGGAATGAGCTCAGTGTTTTGGGGAAACATAAAGGAAGCCTGTGGGACTGGAGTGTAGTGAGGGCCAATCAATCCTTTTCCTGGAATTAAGCTCTGAGATTTGTGTATAAGGAGTGTCCCACAACAGAATAATCGATGTCTTCAGTGTGTGGTGGAATTCCCTCTACCTGATGCATATTTACAGCCTCCAGAAATCTGAATCTCACCGTGTGTAACCCTGAGAGAGCCACTCAGCCTCTAGACTTCCCTAAGTCCTTGTCGCCAGAATTTAATTAGAGACAGACATTCCTTCTAAAATTCCTATATGCTATGTTTTATTATTATACTCAAGTGAATTAAAACGAATTCTACTTGGCATTTAAGCTTTTTGTTTTTCATGAAGTTCCTTGAGGTAACTGGGAATACTTTGGGTGTTAAAAATATCCCCATCTTTGGGATCCTTGGTCTGCAGAAATACGCTTTATGCTTTATAACTAATCTAAAATTAACAACTCAACTTGGTTCTTGATGAGTTTAGTGGCACACCACCCAGTTCTCTAGCTTTCGGGGACCAGCCCTTCTAATAACCAAGTCAAATGTCCAGAGTCTTCATCTCATCTAGGGGATCCTAGGGCATTTCTCTCTGCTCACCCCAAGAGCTCTGATTCCCAGGCTGACGAGGCATCCTGTTGGTCTTGTGATCCAGCCCATACCGCCGCTGACTTCACCATCTTGTCTGGGCATGAGAATCATTGCCCCTGGCTTTTTGCAACAGCTCTTGGTGATGAAGTCACTGTGTCCTGTAAACGCTCCCCTGCTTCTTCCATTTCCCCAAAATGCCGCCAACGCAATGTTGTTGTGTGTAAAAGTCGTTTACTGAAGGATTGGAGGCAATGAGGTTGATTCTAGCTTAGTGAAATGTGAAGTCCAAATGGAGCCTGGACATGATGGTTCTTGAAGTCCCACTGACATCCCGCTGACGAGCAATTTCAAATGCCTGAACAGAGCGACAGAATCTTCTGGGAATTCAGAGGAGGGGGAAATTACTGATGGCTGAGGAGACAAGACAAGGCTTTAGAGGGAAGAGGGAATGTTTGAACTCAATTCTGAAGATAGGATTTCAGAGCAGAAGAGTTAGGGCAAAGGCATCCTAGCTGATGAAAAGGGCCCACATGAGAGAAGATTTGGAGAACATTTGGGGTGCATATGAGGAAGGATGAGTAGTTGGTTTGGCTCAAATACTGTAACCTGGTGCTAATCAATAAGGCTGATAATGATTGTTACTGGTAGTAATGAAAGAGTCATGTATATTTCAAGTTGCCAGATTATTTAGTAACTAAGCCAACTAAAAGTAAAACTATATTTTGTGATCTTAACTATTAAAAAATAGTCTGCATTTTTTAAAGGAATCTTTTTTTAAAAACTTTACTTATTTATTTATTTGAGAGAGAGAGAGCAAGGGTGAGCGGGGGGAGGAGCAGAGAAAGAGGGGAGAGGGGGACACAGCAGACGCCACACTGAGCGCAGAGCTCAAGGCAGGTTCAATCCCACGACCCCAAGATCATGACCTGAGCAGAAATAAAGAGTCGGCCACTTAACTGACCGCACTACCCAGGTACCCCCAAATAATCTGCATTTTTTTAATAATCTGCATTTTTAATAAGTTTCCAGATGGTCCTGGTGCTGCTAGTCCAGGGACCATGCTGCTGAGGAACAAAGCCTCAGGTGGCTGGTATCTGTGATTGCCTATGTGTAGCGTAACGTCTCCTAGGTAGGAGGCTGTCCATGAATGGTTGTTGAACGAATGAATGAACATAGGAAGGAAGTCCTGACGTCAAAGATGATTTTGATTATCACATACCAGGCAGGGGCTTTTATTTATTTATTTACGTATTTCTCTATTTATATATTTTTTTGCAGATGACTCTGTTTCATGGGTCAGTGCAGAAAACTTATGGATTTTGGGAAGATACATGGTTCACCTATCATTTGAAGAAATTGTGAAAATTAGTCCTTTAGAAGTAAGTGGGAAACATACATTTCCATGTTCCCATCACCGAGCCATCTGGGGAAAGGTGTATTCTAAACCTCTCATGTTCAGCCAGTCGAGGTGCCCTGGAAAACTGGATACCCACCTCGGCCAATATATCTTGAATCTCTGAAGAAAACTCTTGGGATGAGGCCTCAAGTCGTTGGTCATCAGATTGCTTTTAGTGCAGACGAACCAAGAAAAGAACAAGAATTGTAGACAACCAGGGTAGCTCCAGTGTGAACCAACATGATATAAAGAAAATGTTGGCTGTGAACCAAAAATCATTTTAGGGTATTTTTGTATTCAAGAAAGACCAAGGACAATAGCTATAGAGTTTCTGGTCCTTGGAAGCATGAACCCAAATCAAACGAATCATGGATTACTAGCGACTTCTATTTATAGCTACTTCTGTTGATAGCTATTTCAGTATGAGCAATGATTGGATTTTAATGGTAGAGTTTACAGTTAAGAAATGTACAAGTTCTAAGGTTACTTTCACTCACTGGCCAACCTGTCTGTCCTCCTGTTGTTGACCCAGTGACACTGAAATCCCTTGGGCATCATGATTCTGGAATGCAGTCTCCAAAGCATGTTGCCAACAGGGAGGCATTCATAAAGACTTTAGGGCTTGCCTCCAGTTTTTATCAAGTGTGTCTTGACTTTCTCCTGGTCAGTGAGAGAAGTGTTTGTATCACATGACTGGCTCTCTCAAGGGCCAATTGATCCAACAATGTCAGCTTATTATGAAACCAGACGCAGAACCAGGTTCTTCTTTTTCTTTATCTTTTTAAAAGATTTTATTTATTTCAGACACAGAGACAGAGCACAAGCGTCAGGGGGAGGGGCAGAGAGAGAAGCAGGCTCCCAGCTGAGCATGGAGCCCGACATGGGACTTGATTCTAGGACTCTGGGATCATGACCTGAGCCAAAGGCAGATGTTTAACCAACTGAGCCACCCAGGCGCCCCCAGGTTCTTCTTTTTAAGAAAAATTTTTAAAATTTTTAATTGAAGTATAGTTGACGTATCTAGGTTCCTCTTTTGACCTAGGGGGCTGAGACTATTTCAAACATCTTTCAGTTTTATAATCTGCAGTTATAAAATGGATTAACCTCAATTTTACTTTCCCAATATTGAGCGAACTTCTGGAAGTTAGGTGGAGATTAAATTGTTAGGAAGCTGGACCCCTGGGGAGGAATTTCTAAGATCAAGAGGTCATTTGCAACTTTTCTTCATCTTCTAAAGTGTAGTGAAGGGAGGCAAAGCCCCACCGGGTACCAACACTAAGGGGGAATTTTATATGGACAAAGAATAGAATCCACAAGGGAGAGACGACTTCATGAGCACAGAATAACTGCATAGAAAGATGGGAGACTTCAGCTTGATACCCTTGGACACCTAGGCAGAAAATGAATAAGAACAGAAAGAATCTGAATGGTGTATTTAATAAAGTTGAATCTATATATTTCTATCTTTCTCTATATTTGTATCTTACCAAGGGAGCACACACTGTTTTTCATCACCCGAGGCCCATTTGTAAACTTACTCATCTACTTAAAAAAACACCCTGATGCCCCAAAGTTTGTGGACCATATTCTCTGACCTCCCCATAACAAATCTACAAAGAAATGTGCAAACATTAGCTTCCAAAGAGTTCAACAGCTCAGATACTGAAATATAACACTTTCCTAAGTGTTGGGTTGAGGAGGAAGCCAAAACAGTTGTGACAGACCATTGAGAAATTAGTGACAACAGGAACTGGGCATCTCCGAGTCTCTGAGGTGGGGGAGAGCGTGGACCACTAGGGTGGGGCTGCTCGGGGCTACGTCAGTCCTCCTCACCAGTCTTCCTGCCCTTGACCACCAGATTGGGCTGTTTATCAGCTATGACAATGCCACCAAGCTGCTGGACACGGTTTATGACATCACACCCGAACTGGCCCAGGCGTTCCTGGAGAGGATCAGCTCCTCCAGCTTTGACGTGAGGAATACCTCCACCATCCACAGGCAAGGGGCAGGGGTCCTCCGAGTTGTTTCCCAAAATGTGATCGAAGCACCAGCTTCCTCTGAGCAGCAGAGGACCCTGGGAGGGAAGGGAGGTGGCTGGTCCATCTCTTTAAATAGCCCCATGTCTCTGTGCACATGAGGGGAAGCATTTCCCCAAAGAAACACCCTTTGAAGGAGTTATAAAGTGGGGTGAGGTGGGAACAAATTCTTTCTGAGCCTCTCCTGTGCCAGGCATTTTATGCAACCTTATCCAGTGCCAAGATTTCAGCTCTGAGCATGGAAATAGAATATCTTAAATACTCAGTTTTCTGTCCAAGGTCAATGTGTAATTTCCATTAGGGTGGGTTGAGGATTGGAAAGAGCTTTTGGGTCCCCATATTTGTGAACCTCTTATTATCCAGATTCTCAGGTGGGGGATCCACAGATGACATCAGCTCTCTAATTTAAAGATTGTAACATGATCCTCCAGGTGGATGGGCCAGGAGCTGTGTACTTGGTGACCCCAGAAAGGGGTCAGACGCTTAACGCCTGAACCACCCAGGCGCCCCATGTCAGTGTCTTTCTGAGAGGGTCAATCCAGGTGGAGCCTGGTCAACCAGGTGATCCAGCCATGCTGAATTGAATAGATTTCATACTAGCTCTAAGAGCATCCATTAATGAAGGAGTGCCTGGTGTCCACCAGGAAGTGTGCTCATCTTCCCATTGAACTCTCACAGTACTCCTGATTCCTCCGTTCATCATATTTATTGTGATGTGCTATGGTGAACAAAGCCAACCTCCCTTTTATTCAAGGCTCAGAGAGACAGGGTCACCCTGTACAGTGGTATACAGTGTGGACTGCTCAACTGTGCATGCAGCAGCTTGGCAGAGAAGTTAAGTAACTTGTTGGATCAAATATCCCATATAGCTGGGCTTCAAACTCTTGTTGGCCTGAATCTGTGCTCTTAACCGCTAAGTACAGTGCTCCCAGCTAGACCAGGGTTCAAATCCCCCCCCTGCCCTTACACTGTCCTACTTCCTGTCTTTTTCTTTCCTTTTGAGGTCATCATCATCTGAGGTGAGCAAACCCTATATCTCCATGTGGAAAATGGGAGTTTTCAATGGCCTCAGCATCACACTTCCCTTGTGTCTCTGACTGCCCTGGGAAGAGAGATGGTATAGCTGGATGGATCTAGTTTTAAGTCCTGACTCCACTACTTTGTCTTTGGCAACTTACTTGACTGCTGTGTTTGCCCTTCTGTGAAATGGGGCTAATAAGAGCATCTACCTCATAGGGTTACTGTGATGGGGTGATCAGGTACAGGGCTCAGCATGATCCCTGGCATGTGGTAGCTGCTCTGACCATCACTCTTGGTTCTGCATGGGACAGGGCTGTGGTTGTGGCCCCCAGCTCGGAGCCCCCCGCCAGCACCCTTATTTTCCCACACAGGCTGGGGCTGCTGGTCTGTTTCTACGATGACCTGGATTTGCTGGATGCCGCAGTGGCCCAAGTCCTCCTCCACCAGATGATCAAGTGCAGCCACCTGAGGGGCTTTCAGGCTGGGGTTCAGCAGGTGCAGTGGGGCGCAGGGCCCTGGGGAGATGGCTGGAGAAACGGAGAGCAAAGTCTTGCCTGGCCTTTGAGAGAAAACATGTCAGCTTAATCAGGATCTAGGTTCAGCCACAGCAGATGGCATCTCAAATCCTGGGATGAGCTTAAAATGGGAAGAAATGACATAAAGCAGTATAAGGGAAAACCTGGGATAGATCAAAATTCAGAGTGGCCACCTTGAACTTAACCATGTGTAAGGATTGCTTGGGATCTTCAATGTGGATTCTGATTCAGTGGGTCTCAGCGGAGCCCTGAGTGGAGACTGTACTTCTTTTTTTTTTAGTAAAGATTTTATTTATTTATTTATTAGAGAGAGCACAAGCAGGCAGAGGGAGAGGGAGAAGCAGACTCCCCTCTGAGCAGGGAGTCCGACATGGGATTCAATCTCAGGACCCTGGAATCAGGACCTGAGCTGAAGGCAGACACTTAACCAACTGAGCCACCCAGGCTGCACTTCTGACAAGCTTCCAGGCGATGCTGAAGCAGCTGGTCTGGTGACCATGCTTGGAACAGAAGGAGATAATGCAGGGTTCTCAAACCTGGCTCTGCCTTAGTAGCACCCCACCAGCTCCGTCCCTGGAGATTCTCGAGGTATTGGTCAGGGCTGTGGCCTGGGAATGGTATGTTTCAAAAAAATCCTCACGTGATTCCAGTGTAGCCAAGGTTGAGAACACTGGATTACAGTGTGTTTACTGAGTTCCTCGACCAAAGTTCTGGGCAAACTGGAACAGACAGACTTTCTCATTTCCCCTTCCCTCCCCATTTCTCTCTCCTTTCTTCCCTTCAAGTGTCAGTTCTGCCTGGCTTCTTTTTGTTTTTGGCTCTTTTCATTTTTTTTTTTTAATTGAAAAGATGATGTGAGAGCAACATTAAAATTTTGGGGCATCTGGCTGGCTCAGTTGGGAGAGCATGCGACTCTTGATCTCAGGGTTGTGAGTTCGAGTCCCAGGTTGAGCATGGAGCCTACTTAGAATTAAAAAAAAAGAGCATTTTGATAATGCCATCAATAATTCCACAGTAGTTTTTCACATGTAACTATAAAATTCCCGATCCCATTTGACATTGGACATAGTCATAATGATCTTCACCAATGCATGTTTTTATTTTCAAGGAAAAGGATCTCTCCCAAGCCAACTCAAACCAAACATCAGAAGATGAATGTATTTTAAAGCCACAGGCATAAGCGGTGGCCATTCTGACCGAGAAAGTCCAATACAGTGAAGATATAAGAGTACCCTTTGGGATCACCTAGCTCAGTACTTCCCAGACCAGAGGGTGCATCAGAGTCACCTGGAGGGTTTGTTAAAATACTGGTTGCCGGGCCTCAAACTCAGTGTCTCTGGTTCAGGAGGACCCAGGCAGGGCCTGAGAATCTGCATTTCTAACAAGGTTCTGGGTCATGTTGCTGGTCAAGGACCACAGTGCTTTGCAAAGCACTGCTCAAGCACATGTCTCCGTCTTACAGATGTGGAAGCTGAGCCGCTGGGAAGGAAACCTGCAGAATTTGGAGACCCCAGAGGCTGTGACAGCTTTCTTTCATTTCACTCTGCTGCCCCCCAGTGGCCATTTCAGTATTGCCTGGTACACTGGTGTGCACATTTCTGATAGGAATACACTGTTCCTACAACTTCAGGTGTGAAAACATGAACCATTCTCATTTTTGGGCACAGAGGTCATGTAGCAATGTTCTTTACTGAGAGTGGTTAGGAAACACAGTTAACTATAACTAGATAGGCATAGTATAATAAAATCATTGTTAAGGCGATCCCAGAAACGTGAAAATCTGTGTAAAACCTAAGTAAAAAATATAGAAAATCATACTTCCATTCATGTTATGACTCTGTGAAACATGCTGTAGTTTACTTATTTTTTTAAGATTTATTTATTTATCTGATAGAGAGATAATGAGCATGAGTGAGGTGTCGGGGGTAGAGGCAGAGGGAGAAGCAGATTCCCCGCTGAGCAGGGTGCCCCACGCAGGGTTCGATCCCAGGACCCTGAGATCACGACCTAAGCCAAAATCAAGAGTCATCCCCTTAACCAGCTGAGGCACCCAGGGGCCCCTAATCATAGTTATTTTTATGAGGAGTTTCAGGAGATTTTACTTTCACTTAAATAAAAAATTATTTTTGCATGGATTATATATTATCACAAAGAACACCCTGGATGTTTCATGAAAGAAAAGCAGCCATGTATATGGATGCAGAGTTCAAGGTCACAAAAAGACAACAGATGCTATGAGAGGGTGGTAGAATTATGGACAAAGTGAACAAAATTTCCTTCTGCCTTGTTTCAAGGTTGATTTAATAGCAAGTTAATATTTAAATGAAGTACAAAGTGAATTTGTAGCATATTAAGGTCAAGGCCAGAGGAGGTGGTGCTCTTCATTGGGGCGACTCATTGTCTGGTCAGGACTCCTTGGGCCAGGGTTGGGGAGGGTGTTGTGACTACCCCAGGGCGTAGGCAGAGGGAGCCACTGTGCTGCTTGTTACCCACCCTCATGCCAGCTTGCTCCCCTTCTAGCTCAAAGCCCACCTCCTGGACATCGCCATGGAAAACCAGACCCTCAATGAGACTCTGGGCTCTTTGTCGGATGCGGTTGTGGGCTTGACCCACAGTCAGCTGGAATCCCTCTCCCCCGAGGCTGTGCATGGTGCCATGTCTACCCTCAACCAGGTCTCAGGCTGGACCAAGAGCCAGGTCATCATCTTGTCTGCCAAATACTTGGCCCATGAGAAGGTCAGTTGGAACTCTTTTTTTTAATGCTCTGAGACCCAAGGGCCAGTGACACACAAGGACAGCCAGTCAGTACGAAGATGGTGCCAAAGAGGACTCGCTCTGCCGTTTACTAGCTGCGAGACACTGGACAATGGGCTTGCCTTTTTGCCTCAGTTTCTCTATTTGTAGGATGGGGATAATGATAGTGCCTCTTCTGTAGGAGGGCTGTAAGCATTCTGCGGGTCAGTACGCAGGAAGAGGTTGGAACATGTGACCTAGAGTGTGAGCTCAATGAGTGGTGGCTGTTGTGTTGTTTGCAAAGCTTGGGACCTATTCCAGGATTTCCTTGCTTGTTATTGAGGCTGCAAACACGTCCCTCATCCTGAGATGAAAGATAATGCTATTTTATTCATTTTGGGCAGCAGGGAGGGAATTGTCCTTGCAGAAGGTCCTGTTTAGAGGGGACAGGAGCCTTATTAGTCCATGTCCAGTTGCTCCTGGGGTGGGAAATGAGTCTTTTTTCCTGGGGAAATCATTTCTCTGCCCTGGGCTCAGTAAAAGGGGCTCCAGAACCCTGAGCCCCTAAGTATTTTGGTGTCCTGCTCTTTCTGTCTCATAGCTGTGTCCCGGGATGCAGACTAGTTCATGAGGACTGGACTGGGGACCAATTCCAAAGTGACAATAATAACATATACATTAAGTACTTCCTGTGTGCCAGGTTCGGGTCTAAGTGAGTTAATTGTTCAATGTTCTCAACAACCATTTGAAGTCAGTAGTATGTTCTGATCTTCATTTTCTATGTCATTCATGAGGGGCACAGAGTGTGTAAGGGAATTGCCAGGGTCCCATAAAAGGGACACAGCTGGGATTGAACCCAGGATGTCTGGCTTCAGAGTCTGCTTGCTTAACTCCCATGCTGACTGCCTCCAGCATGGCACCATGGCCATGGTCCATCCATTCTTACTTTCTGACTCAAGGCCAAGGCTAGCCCATTCTTGTCTCTTCTAGCCTCATGGCAACTTAGTTTGAAGGCTTGGCTGCCCTCCTCTGTTTTGACTGGGGCCCCGTGAGTTTACTTGCACAGTGAAACATACATTTGATTTCAGGGAGCTGAGGGAGACCGTCTTGTTCCTCCCAGTCCTGGACAAAGTGACTTGTCTCTTTGGTGAAGCAATTGTTATGAAGATGCCAAGAGCTCGAGAGGTCTTGCCTTCCTTGAGGATGGTAGAGACTATCCATTCTACAGAGCACAGCAGGCAAACCACACAACTGGCTTTTTGTAGAGCTAAGGAATGAATGTTCCTGATTATATGGAAAACCATCTAGCATCTTTACTCTAAAGGAAGGAGACAAAACAAGTAGAGTTTTTGATGGGGCAGACAGCCACAATCCTATCTGTCATAAAATATCAGACCCATATCCTGAAACATTTTTTTCAACTCAAAGCTTCTACATGGAGATAGATGAGCATGGGGTTTGCTGTGTCAGGGGACTTCATGAGAAAAGTGGGCTACCTGGGGGCCTTGTACGAGGGGGTGGGGCTAGGTAAACTGAGAGCCCCATGACCTACGTCAAGGGGCAGCTGCTGGTCAGTTCTTGCCAACTGTTGCCGATGTGGGCCTGGTATTGCCTGGTGCTCAGATTTTTTTTTAAACCTGGATTTTAATGGAAATTACCCCCATTTTAAAATGTTGTCAGCTAGTCCAAGTTCAACACACACCCAGAAGCCCATTGTATGGCCAGCTGTGGTGCATGGGTCATGACTTTTTGATATTTGTACTGTGGCCTCGGACAGCACGGTATGCCCTGGGCAGAGCACTAGCTTCATGTGTTGTGTTTTGATATTGACTCTCTTTCCTGATGGAAGGAAGGAAGGTCTGGGAGGGCAGCATGTGTCTTGCTTCCAGTCGTGCCCCTGGCACCCATCCAGATACCGGCATGCAGTGGGGTAAGTGTCTCCCAGGTGAGAAACCAGAGTAGAACCTCATCCTCCTCGCGGCCGGTCTTCCCAGGTGCCGTCTTTCTACAATGTCAGCCAGATGGGCGTGCTGCTGGCCGGGATTGGCACCCAGGCCTTCTATGGCATGGATTGCAGGGACCTCTTGCAGGTCCTGAGAAGCACGGTCTCTTTGCATGTGTCCGACTTGTCACCTGCCCAGAAGCAAGGTGTCCTCAGCAAGGTGAGAGGAAGACATCGGGTCCTCAGCCGTGTGGTTCACAGAGCATGTGGTTTTGGGGTTTTGTGAGTGTGCTGTGACTTTGGGCCATTGACTCAGGGCTGGGGTTAGCTGAATCTTTGGTGTGTTCTGAACCTTCCCCTGATGGCCACTTTCCTTCTTTTCCAGAAAGAGGTTCATGCTGCATTTTTCTTTTCTTTCCCTCCCTCCCTCCCTCCCTCCCTCCCTTCCTTCCTTTCCTCCTCCCTCCCTTCCTTCCTTTCCTCCTTCCTTCCTTCTGTCCTTCCTTCCTTCCTTCCTCTCTTTCTGTTTTAAAGATTAATTTATTTATTTTAGAGAGAAAGAGCGTGAGTGGGAGGGGCAGAGGGAAAGGAAGAGAGAATCTCAAACAGACTCTAAGCTGAGCCTGATGTGGGGCCTTGAGTTCATGACCCTGAGATCAGGACCTGAGCTGAAACCAAGAGACGGACAGTTAACTGACTGCGCCACCGAGGCGCTCCAAGGGTCACACTATATTTCTTCCCAGACCCCGGAGCTTTCCTTAGCCAGTTGACTCTGGAAGACTTTTCTTAAATTAGGTTTCTTGATATGATAATGTTTTGAAAGTTTGTTTTTCAAATCTCAAAATGAATCCCGAAGTTCACAGAGTGCTTCTGAAAGCCCCTTCCATGATTTGAAGTCACACCTATGTTCCTCTTTCTCCCTTGGCAGTGGGTCTTTGGGCGTCCTATCCTCTCACACCTGCTGTGTCCAGTTGCAAAATCTGTTAGGAAATGAAACCCAAGGAGTTGGACTTAAAATACCAACACCTTGCAGATAGCAATAGCACGTCTGGTTAAAATAAAGAATGTGGGTTCTGGAATAAGATGGACTTGTGCTTGAATCTTACTTACCAACTTTCAACCAGTTACTTATTAAGCCTCAGTTTTCTCACCTGCAGAATGGGGGTAAGGATAGTCCCCCACCTCAGAGGGTTGCTGAGCAGATATGGTGGATTTCATGGCCTCTGAAAGCACCGACACAGTGCCTGGCCCTTACCCAAAGTTCAGTGCACCTTCTACAAGGTGGTTATTATGCTTATCCTCACTCTTGGCAGATGATTGAAGCAGGAGATACTACCTCAGGCCTTGTGGAAATACAAGGGGCTTTCTTTAAGGAGGTGTCTCTTTTCGATTTACGGAGGGAACCCGGATTTAACACTACAGTCCTAAAGGAAAAGGAGCTTCGAAGGAGTCAGGTATGACCACTGAGGATTCTGACACCAATTTGGATGTGTATATGTTGGGGGGAGTGGGTTCCTCACACCAACAAGGAATTCTCCCAACACCAGTTGGGTGTCCTATGATTCATCTCAGTTCTGACACTGTCAACCTGGTGATGGCATCAGATCCCACAGGTCAAGGGTTCAGCCCTATAATCCTACACCCCCTGCCCCTCAACTTCAGATGCCAGTCACAAGTCCTCGTCCCCTGTGCTTCTGACCTACCAGCTGTAGATCAAAGGTTCCAATGACCACCCTGCCCTACTTTGGTTTGATTAACTTGGTCAAGCGCTCACAGAACTCAGAGAAACATTTTACTTACTAGATCACTGCTTTATTATAAAAGGCTATAACTCAGGAACAGCCAGAAGGAAGAGAAGCATGGGACAAGGTGTGGGGAATGGGTGCGGAGCTTCCATGGCCTCTCCAGATGCGCCACCCTCCCAGCACCTACACCTGTTCACCAACTGGAAGCTCTCTGAACTGGGTGCTTTTGGGTTTTTATGGAGGCTTTATCACATAGGCATGCTTGATGAAATCATTGGCTGTTAGTGATTGATTCAGCATCCAGTCCCTCTCCCCTCCCTGGAGGTCCGGGGTGGGACTGCAAGTTCCAACCCTCCACTCACGAGTTTGGTTCTTCCAGCAACACCCCTCCACCCTCAGGTGCTTTCCAAAAAGTCGTTCATTAACATGAGAAAAGAGGCCTTGATTACTCTCCCTGCTTAGGAAATTCCCAGGGTTTTAGGAGCTGGTGCCAGAAAAGGGAATAAGAACAAATAGAGATTTCTTATTGTAAATCACAATATCACAACCATGATGCCCAGATCACTCCTGGATTTCTGACTCTCTGCCTTGTGGGAAAGCTCCGTTTTAAGGTGAATTTGGCAAAAGAAATTTATTTCTGTGTGATTACACTCAGGGGGCAGAACCCCATAGTATTAAGAAGTTGGACAAGACCTGAGCATGAATTTGGGTGCTACCACTTATTAACTTTGGGGGAGCCACTTCTCACTCAGCCTCAGTTTTCTCAGTGTGAAATGGGGCTAGTTTCTTTCTTTTTTTTAAATGATTTATTTATTTTTTTTTAAGAGCTTGAGAGAGAGAGAGAGAGCATGCGTGCACCTGCTGAGGGGTGGGGTGCGGTGGGGAGGGGCGGAGGGAGAGGGAGGGAGAGAATCTTAGCGATGGGGAAGACTGGGGTGGGGTAGGGTCCCAGAACCTGATCCTGCGCCTGAGGAAATGTCTGGGGCCAGACACAGAGCTTAGGGAGCTTACCTCCCTAGCTGTTCCTTTCTCCTGGGCCTGGCTGTCATGTCACAGATGCCTCTGCCTAACCCTGGCTCATAATTTATTCCTTTTGAGGAATTATGTTCAAAGTTTCAGAGTCTATAAAATAGATGAATGTCATACTTGATCGCATCTGCAAGTTAGGTGTTCTGTAAAATTACGTTCCTTAAAACAAATGACTCCCCTGCCTACTAGGTATTGTTCTTGTAGAGTGCCCATCTGGGAGGGTTGGAGGGCAGCGTGTGCTGCAAGTAGGAGTTACTTTATTGATGGTACTTTCTAGCCCGTCTTGGTCTGTTCATCCGTCTTCTCTTTTGCTTCCTGGGAGCTAGTAGGGGGGCATGGACAGGGGCTGTGGAGGGTCCTCAGCTGATCAGCAGCTTCACAAAGCATAGGAAATAAACCTCCAGCCTTGCTTCCTGACGGCTTTGCTCCTCATTTGTGTTCTAGAGCACAGGGGATCCTCCAGGTGTGAGAGCATGCATTCTGCAATCACTCTGACACTGGTTCAAATCCCAGCTCTACCACCTAGCAGTTGTGTGGGCCTGAGTGAATAACATAGCCTGTTAGGCCTCCATTTCCCCATCTGTAAAATGGGATCATAGTGTGTCCTCCCCATAGGGCTTCACGGTGCTGGGCACACACTGTGCTCCTCAGGGTGAGTGAGTAAGTAAGTGAGTGCTCTATCCGTACGGGCAACCATTCTCTTCCCTCAGGCCTTGTTCCTGTATGAGCTTCTGTCAAAGTCGACCAGAAGGCCCGAGGAGCTCCTGAGGTAGGCGAGTATACTTGGCCTGGGGGCTGATGAGCCCTTTGGAGCCTAATTTCCCAGGAGGGAGAGTTGGACAGTCAGTCTGTAGCCTGTGCCCATCAGACCTGCTTTCTCTTGCCCCTTCTTTCTTCTCCCCTCCCCAGCCCTGCTCCTGGGTCCCTTGTTCTGTTTTCCAGCACAGGGCAGCTGGTCAAAGGCGTGACATGCTCCCACATTGATGCCATGAGTGCGGACTCCTTTCTGACCCATTTCCACTATTTTGAGAACAACCTCTCCCTGCTCTCACCCTATCAGGTACCATCACGGCACGTTCGAGCTTCTGATTCTCTCTCCCTGCCTGGATTGACTATGGCAGCTTAAGATATTTGTGTCAGGATTATTCCCATGCAAGTGATGATGTGGGGCCAAATATTGAGCCAGGTTTTCTCCAGTTTCTTTTTTATCTTTTTTTTAAGATTTTATTTATTTATTATTTATTTATTGACAGAGAGAGACACAGTGAGAGAGGGAACATAAGCAGGGGGAGTGGGAGAGGGAGAAGCAGGCTTCCCATGGAGCAGGGAGCCCAATGCGGGGCTCGATCCCAGGACCCTGGGACCATGACCCGAGCTGAAGGCAGACGCTTAATGACTGAGCCACCCAGGCGCCCCTCCAGTTTCTTTTTTAAAAGCTCCAGATAACCCTGTCTCTACAGCCAGAGCTTCACCAGATTGGTTATTCTAAACTCAGATCGAAACTCAGATAAAATACAGTTGTAGGGTACACCGTTTGGCATGTTCGTAATTATGTTCTGAGACTGAAAGTCATTTCCCTCCTTCCTGTCCTTTCCAGAGGTAGCCTGGAATGGGAACAGTACTTTTTAAAAAATTTTTTATTGTTATGTTAATCACCATACATGACATCATTAGTTTTTGATGTAGTGTTCCATGATTCATTGTTTGTGCATAACACCCAGTGCTCCATGTAGAACGTGCCCTCCTCAATACCCATCACCAGGCTAACCCATCCCCCCACCCCCCGGGAACAGTACTTTAATAAAAGTATTTTCTTCTTCATTTAATACTTCATTTTCCAAATGGTTAGGGAGACTCTTTATCCTTTTGGGGAGACCAGAGGCGGAAACTGACTTTTCACTGGATCTAAGCAAGTAAAATCGGGCCTTGGGAACAGTGTTTGGACTTGGGAGTCTAAACTTTTGGTGGGACGGAGTCCTGAGAGGGTGAGCAGGCAGATATACAAGGCATCTTCCCGCCTCTGGCCTGGCGTGTTGTAGATATGAATGAAAGGTTTCCAGATAATGAATTCTCTCCCTGAGAGCCAGGAAATAAGCTTAAAGCTTGGTGTATAATCCAAGGTCCTTAGAGGAATAGGCAAAATTTTCACAAAGCCCTGTCATTCCCTTGCATTCAGTCAATGGTTCTCCAATTTGAGTATCAGCATTGCCTGGAATGCTGGGGTTGTTTGATGGGTATTAAGTTTCAGTTTTACTAGATGAATACATTATAGAAATCTGCTGTGCAACACAGTGCCTATCATTAACAATGCAGTATTGTATACTTCAGAATTTGTTAAGAGGGTAGATCTCATGTTAAGTGCTCTTACCACAGAAACAAAAACAAAAAGGAATAAAGGTAACTCTGGGAGGTGTTGGATGTGTCTATTACCTTGATTGTGTGATGGTATCAAGGATGTTTGTCTATGTCCAAATTCATCAAAGTGTATGCATTATACGTGCAGGTCTTTGCATATCAAAATACCTCAATAAAGCTGTTTAAAAAAACCCCACAAAAAAAAAAAAAAAACAACCCACAGATGAAAACAACATTAACAACAACACAGATTGCAGAGCCTCACTTCCAATTTCTGGGGTGAAGCCTGATAATTCACATTTATAAAAGTTCCCTGGTAAGAACTATTGAACTGTATTAGAAGTCTTGCCCACGCAGGGAGGAAAGCAAATTATTTTGGTAACCTGGACCCTGGCATGGCGGTCTCCTTTATACTCCTCAAACTGATCCAGTGGGTGGAGGTCAGACCTACTTTGAGGAAGACCTCCATGTTCAAGGAGGAAGAATTGTTCCAACAAAGCTCCTTACCTAGAATCCCTCAATGCTCAGGAGCTTCAAATACCAGTTAATTAGAAAATTTGCCTTTGTTGTTTACACTTTTGCTGAAAACACATAATTATTATTAAAGAATAAAACAATATATAGAGAGTAAAATTTCCCCAAATTTCCCCTGGAGCAGTGATTCTCGGAAAACTATTTAGCCATATCTGGAGACACTTTCGGTTGTCACTCCTGGGGGAGATGCATCTAGTGAGTAGAGGCCAGGGATGCTGCTCACTCCCTACAATGCAGAGAACAGCCCCACAACAAAGGATTTTCCAACCCAAAGTCTCAAAGGTGCTGAGATTTAGAGTTCCTCTTTTTTTTTTTTTAAAGATTTTATTTATTTATTTGAGAGAGAGAGAGGGAGGGAGTGCTCTAGCATTAGGGAGGGACAGAGGGACAAGCAGACTCCCCACTGAGTGGGGAGCCCGATGCGGGGCTTGATCCCAGGACCCTGAGGTCAAGACCTGAGCCAAAGTCAGACGCTTTACCAACTGAGCCACCCAGGCGCCCTGAGAATCTCTCTTAATGTAACCACGAAGAAAAGTTTGCTATCGACTTTGTGAGTTTTTTTGTGTCTATAAAATGTATTTACGTGTAATTTAAAAAAACACAAATGAGTTCATACTATATACGTTGTTCTGTTTAACTTTATAGCACAGGCGTGTGTGTGTGTGTGTACATAAATAGGTCATGGCCGTCATTCCATGTTAATGGATATAAATCTACCTTTTGAAACAAAATAGTTGCATAGCATTCAGTTGTATGGATATACCATAACTTACCTAACCAATCCCAGACCGAGGGACAGTGACATTCTGGCTCTGTTAAAAGGTAAACCTAGGCATATTTTTTTTTTTTTTGAGATTTAGAGTTCAGAAAAATTTAGAGTTTTTCTGAGCGAAAATCGATTGGAATTGGGCAGTGCTGAACCAGAAGTGGTTTAGAGTGCCCTGCAGGGGAAGAGACATATACAGAGAAAGTGCAGATGCAGAGAAAGAAATTATTTGACTGGTTATAGCTTAAAGCCTAGTTGACTCTTGGTGATTGGTTGTTGTTGGTGTTTTGATTTCATAACCTTGAGGCATTTATGGACTTCGATTTTGGTGTGCTTACGTAGGGCGCCCTGTCATCAGAGCCACTTCAGTCTAATGGCCTCCTTGTTTAATGAATTTAACATCTCACTTTCTTGCAGTTATAAACAAAACAAGGTGAGCATTCTCAGACTTAAATTTTTGTGTTCGTCTTGTGGTCGCCTCGGTGTGCTCATCCCTAAACTGGGCACAGTAGTGATACCTACATCGTAGGGTGTTCTCTTCAATAATAAGTAAACATATATAGAGCACTTAGAACAGTGCCTGGCCCAAAGAAAGCACAGTTTTGTTTGCTCTTATGATTATTGGACTAAATTCCTAGAATTGCTTTAATCTTTCAGGTTAATTGTTTGGCGTGGAAATACTGGGAGGTCTCCAGATCCTCTATGCCACCTTTCCTCTTGACTGCACTCCCGTAAGTGAACATTGGCTCCCCTCTCTGGCCCAACAATGAGATTGGTGGGAGTCATCCAAGTCATCTCAGCCCTGGCTTTTTGTGAGGAGCCAGAGTGGAGAGTGCCTTCCAGAATTAAGCCCTTGTGAACCAGGATTTAAATTCTGAACCCCACATAGATATTTCAGACAGAGTCTCTTGCCTTTTTATCCCCCCCTGTTATTTAAAAACCAAAGCCAAAGCAATCTAAGCCCGAGTGAGTGCCGGTGAAGCAGGTCCCATCTGGGCTGGCCTCCCAGCTGTGCCCAGGCTCCAGGGTGATCAAGGCTGATGTGAGTTGTGGGAATTTCTCCTGGTATGGTGGGCGTTCAGGCCTGGGAGGGGGAGCCCTGCTTTTTCAAACATAGTCTGGACACTCTTTTTCTCTTTATTTCCCTCTTCCTTCTCTTGCTGTTAATTGTCTTCATTTATTCAAAAAAAAATTTACTGAATGCTTACTGTGTAGTAGTTCTCAAAGATAATTTATTTTTCCCCTTATAAGAGCTTACAGTCTCTGGGAGGGGGAATATACAAGCATGAAGCCATTTATAATGTCAAGTTGATATTTGGTTGAAAGTGATAAGAGCCTTAAACTGGCTTAAGCAATAAAAGTCAGTTTTGGTTCAGGTAACTGGAAACTCCAGGAATAGACTTCAGGCATGACTGGATCCAGGGGCTCAGTGGTCAGCCATCTGTCTTTTGGCCCAGCTTTCCTCTGTAGGCTTCTGCGTCAGGCATCTTCTTTCTCTGTAGTGGTCTCTGGCCGATTCAAGGCTATATCCTCCTGGTTAAAAGACTTTTTTTTTTCCCCATCCTTCTCAGTAAGTCGTGGGTTTGACTGGGGTTGTGGTGGATAGACAGTTCTGACTGGCTTAGTTTGGTATTGTACCCCTGGAGCTGAGAGTGAAGTGGGGTCCACCCCAAACCACAAGGACTTCAAGTGAAGGGGGTGATTCTCCAAGAAAGCCAGGTGCTGTTACCACGGGAAAGGGTGATGGGTAGAGGGCACAGAGGGGGGTGTGACTCTTTCAGACTGGAGAGCTGGAGGAGACTAAACTCAGAGAATGAGCTGGGGTTTCAGAGTTCAAGATGGACACTCCAGGCAGGGGCACAAGGAATGTTTGGTCCAGCGGTGGGCAAGGGAAGTGAAGGGTGTGAATCTGCAGAGTAGTTGGGGGACAGAATGCCAGAGAGGTAACAGTCAAATCAGGGAAGGTTTGTATGACACCATGAGGTGTTCCACCTGTATTCTGGGCACAGCTCCTCACATTTATGTTTCAGAGAGATCATTACCTCTTTCCACATAGTGGACAGATCGCAGGGGGCCTGGCCGGAAGGAGGGAGACATGGAAGCTTATTTCTAGAGCCTGGACCTCGGCATGGCTTTCTCCTTCTACTCATCCACATCTCAGCTTAAGTACCTGTGTCTTAGAACGGGCTCCCCAGCTGTCCTCACCATCATTCTCCGTTGCAGAGCCATTTTGTTTTCTTCCTTACATTTATCACTGGCTGAAATGACCTGTTTTATTCACTGGTTTCGCTTGTCTTTACCTTACTGGGATGGAGCATCCTGAGAACAGGGACCTCCCCCTCCTCTAGTGTTCATGTTTGTAGCTGGTGCCCGGTACAGTTCCTGGCATGCAGCAGATATTTGCTGAATGAATGAAGAGATAAATAAGATAGCAGTCCTGTGAATAGAGAGGCAAGAACAGATTTGAGTAATATTAAGCTGGTAGCAATGACAGATTTGGGAATAAAGGGAAAAAGACACATGGGCTGGTGTAGAAGAGGAAGAACATGTCTACCGGTCATGATGAGTAGGCCATGTGGGTCTAGAGCGGTCTTTCTCAACCTCTGTTTCATTATTGCCTCCCTAAAGGGAACAATTTAATTTCTCCTGAATGAGAGAATTTACCAAGAATAAGATTTTGTTGAATAGGATTGAGGTTTAGTGGGTCACAAATCATTGTAATAATTAAGATTTTTTTTTTCCGCTGTCTCTAACCGAACCAGTTTTTCCCCCTAGGGGGCCATATTGCCTCCGTTAAGAATACATGGTCAAGAGTTTGCGGTGGGGTGGGGGGTGTTCTGGACTGGAGATGCCAGAATCAGGTGTCATTTCTCTTACTTTTTCCTGCTCTCTCCTTGTCTTTCTTTCTCACTTTCTATCTTATTCTCTCTGTTCTTTATCTCTTACTTCTACTTTTTCTTCTTCTTCTTTTTTTTTAAGAGTTTATTTATTTGAGAGAGCCAGACAGCACAGGCAGGGGGAACAGCAGAGGCAGAGGGAGAAGCAGGCTCCTGCTGAGCAGGAAGTCCGATGCAGGGCTCAATCCCAGGACCCCGGGATCATGACCTGAGCTGAAGGCAGACACTCAACCAACTGAGCCACCCAGGCGTCCCTACCTTTTCTTTTTCTTTCTCTTCATCTCCCCTCAACCAGTCCATCAGGCAACATTTTTTTTTTAAGATTTTATTTATTTATTTGACAGAGAGAGACACAGCGAGAGAGGGAACACAAGCAGGGGGAGTGGGAGAGGGAGAAGCAGGCTCCCTGCTGAGCAGGGAACCCCATGCGGGGCTCGATCCCAGGACCCTGAGATCATGACTGGAAACGAGGGCAGAGGATTAAGGACTGAGCCAACCAGGCGTCCCTCAACATATGTTTATGGAGACCCCATTCTCTGATTGATGCTACTTGGGTGTAGAAGAGAGGCAGGATGGGACATCTGTTTCCCTGCCCACAGAAGAGGGGCGTGGTGGGTGGGAGGCTTGCTCCATCCCAAGAGGAGCCACAACATCCCTGGGGAGAACAAACATTTATAGAACAGCCCTGGGATAAGCTCTTGGGCATGTGGAGGCTGATTTCAGGGGCAAACGCAGAGCTGCCATTGTTTTCCCCCCTCCTTCTCCCCGTCTCTTTCCAGGGCTCGCTACCTGGCTTCTGTCCCAGCTTCCCAGTGTGTACCGTTTCTGATCAGCCTGGGGAAGAGTCAGTTGGACTCCTTGGTTTTAGATTCCCACAAAAAGAATTCAGTCCTTAGGAAGGTACAGCAGTGCCTGGTAAGGAAACTCTTCCTGGGTGACACTTTCCCTGATATTCTTTCCTCTCTGGGTGTCTATGGCTATCCTGGGGAGCCCTCGGGGGATCTGGCTGGGACCTTGAGCTTGTGGTGATGGCCTGAAGTCTGACCTGTGGGTCTCAGAGCTGGCCCTGGGACCCTGGGTGGGGCAGTCTTGGCCATCAGTTCTGAGGACTGCCATCCTGGGGCTTGAACGATGGGAGGCTGCTCTGGGGGACTAGAAAGATCACAGTACACAGTCTGGGATCTAGGCTGGCCTCTGGCGGTAATTGGTTATGTGGCTTCCAGCAGGTTATTCCCCTCCTTGAGCCTCAGTCTTCTCATCCCTAAGATGGGTGCAAGAGCACTTCCTGCACAGTTATTGAGGGCATGAAATAGGCAATAAATTGTTCAATGCCAAGGCCCAAAGGGCACATTGTCTGAGTGTGACCCCTAGGCTTGCCACTGGCTGGCAGTTTCTTTATCTTTAAAAAGTGGGTGATATTAGTACTTACCTCTTACAGTTACTTTGAAGATGAAGATTAGGAAGTGTAAGCTCTTAGAACACTGCCTGGCATGTGTTAAATATTCAAATGTTATCTATCTCCTTTTGTCATTGGGGAAAGAGCTTTAGAGGCTTTCAAGTCCCGTACAGATTTTGAAGTGCTGTTTTTATTCTTGCTGTAGTATTATTAGCATGGTCGTTGAACTCTGGGGTATCCTCAGAGCAATGGCACCAACAATGACGTCAGTCCTCATTTACGGAGTGTTCACCACGTGCCAAGTCTTCTGCCCACACCGGCTCCTTGGTGGGGCCTCCTAGACTTCCAAGGCCTGCCTCCCTGGGGTAAAATCAGACCCTGTGCTGTCTCTTCTAGTCCATGGTAGGGTGGGTGATTCAGGTCCCGGAACCTCTTCACGAGGTTGGGGATTGGGATGTGTTGTGGAGGGGTCACGATCTTGAGCCCTGCTGGATCTTCCCATCAGCTCCGCTTGTTGGTTTCAGGACAACTTCATTGCTGATGAGTACGCGGTAGACATCGTGGGCAAACTGCTCTGCCACTTGCCGGCAGCCGTCCTCCACCGTGGGGTCTCCACTCCGGCCTGGGCCACAGCCCTGCACGGGCTCAGAGACTGCCCAGACCTTAGCCCCGAGCAGAAGGCTGCGGTGAGGCTCAGGCTCCTGGAACAGTACGGGTGAGGAGGGGCCAGGCTTGGCCCCGGGGATGGGGAGGGTGGGGGGCTGAGCGCTGCACAAGGGGTGCCGAACCCTGGTGCTCCTGCCCTCCAAACAAGAGAGTCTCTTGCTTAGCACAAGGTTAGCCGCTTTCGTTTATTCTAGAAATGTGACCTTTCTTTTTTGGGCTTCAGATGCCCTGTAAAGTGAGGACAGTAGCTGCTCTGTAGGCGTCTGTGGTTGTCACCAGTACGATCTTGGCACATTTAAGGACAGGAGTTATGAAAGCTGGCACTTTACAAATGCAAGGAGGTGCATCCTTATTCTTGTGTAATAACAACAACAAACAGTAACAGTAATGCCGATGATCAAAGCATTGTCAGCTCTGGGTCTGGGGCAGCTCTGGGCAGGGGAGGGGACGGACACAGAACTGTTTTTTCTCATGTAGAGTCTTCTGAAGTTGGGGCGGGTATTTGAGTAGGACCTAGCCATCAGTCAGCGGTTAAAAACAGCAGATGTTTCTGGAGTAATTACTCTGTCCCAGGCACATGGGACATGGACTCTAGAGGCCGACTCCTTGGGTTCAAGTTTTGTGTACGTGGTGGTACGCTCTGTTGTCTATGTGACCCGGGAAAAGCTATTTAATCTTTTTGCACTTTAATTTCTACATCTGTAGAATGGGGACAGTAATGGAAGAGGAAGTACAGGCTGTGCTGTAAGTGACAGAAGTTCCAACAATTCAAGCTAAAAAAGAAGTGGGAATTTATTGAGTTCAGAAACAGAATGTAATGGAAAACTCCAGGGGTATACTCCAGGCCTGACTGGATCCAGAGGCTCAAGTGATGTTGTGGGGAATATGCTCCTCCCAGCCCTCAGCTCTGTGTTCCTTGGTGTGGCCTCTATTCTCTCTACTTGGTAATGGGAACAACTTCCAGTATTCTCTTTACTGCCAGAGATACCAGGAGGAAGAGGGCTTCTCCAGTAGTTCCAACAAAATTCCCAAGGGTGACCTGGTGTCCTGTATGTGCTACCCTGCATCACATGCCTGTTCTCTTGGTCAGGGAAATGGGACTTGCCCAGGTATGAAGTTGGCCTGTTCCTGCAAGAAAAGGATGCTGGGAGACAGAGAAAACAGTGCGGTGTTTCAGATGACTGCTTATCTTCTTTTCCTAGACTTCCCCAGAACTGGACGGCCGAGACGACAAAGGACTTGGGACCCTTTCTAGTACTTTTTTCAGCAGATGAATTAAGCTCTGTTGCCACAAAGGTACCTCTGTGTTCCATCTTTGGAAGGCTGAAGGGTTTTGAAGGGGAGAGAAAGTGTGGTCAGTTATACTCCCCCTTGGGTTTACTGCCTGTTTGCTTTCTGGAACCTTCCTCCCTGCCTCAAAGGGCTCAGATGTTCCCAGCTCTGCTCCAGGATACCCAAGGTTTGGGAAAAGGGAGTGAGACAGCAGCAAAACCAACTCTGGGCTTTTCACATGGCCCTCCGTCCGGGCACACGTGCCCAGACTGGGAGCTGTAGGTCAGTTACCACCTTGCTATCTGTGTGCTCCCCACATGCATGCCTGTTTGAGGGCTAATATTCAGCAGTGCCATATACACATGCACATGTATGTCCAGTGTGTGCAATCGCTTATGTAAACACATTTAATCCAAAACCAAATCCTTATGGAGCATTGCCTTTGGACACACACTTTGCTTGGAGCAACTCTCCAGAAGTTAGCGTAGGCCAAGAGCTGTGCCAAACAGGTACCAATTTGTCATCTTTTTGCTGTATAATCAAGCCACATGATCTCATTGGCACGCAACAATAAGTATTAATTTCTTGAGGACTGGTCTGTGGGTCACCAGGACCGCTCTGCTTCCAGAGTCTGCTTCTGGGGCTCAGGCTACCTGGCGCTTGTTCTTCACGCCATGGAGGTCTGAAACTCCAAAGGAGGGAGCACCAGAGTGCAACTTCCTTTAAGGCCTCCCCTGGGAAACGGCACTGTCACTTTCCATTGGCCAAAGCAGGTCACATGACCAAGCTCAACCTCAGGGGGCAGGAAGTAGTCTCCTTCATGCAGAAGTGGAGAGTGGAGAGGGAGTAAGTATTTGCTGGACGAGACTCAGATGGACTGCAAGGCACATCCACACACTCTCATCCCCGCACGTGCGCGTGCAAGATGTACGTTGTCATACGTGCTCTGCAGAACCTGAACACACAGCGTGTCACCCAGGTTCACACACAGTGTACATTCCAGTGTCCAGGCATGGTAAAACCGTCTTCTGGGGTGTCCACATAGTCATAAGTAGCAGATGCATGTATATTATATACTTATCTTCTAAAGATCAACTTTTGAAATTGAAAAAGTTTTATCTCAATACAGTTAAATCTCAGAAACATAGTGCAGGGTTAAAAAAGGTGAGTTGCAAAAGAGTACATACAGTAGGATACTAAATAAACAAACAAATACTAGTTAAAATTTTTTTCACTATGAAAATGCTTTAATAGTGGTTTTTTTTTATCATGAAAATAGTTACATTAATTTTAAGCACATGCAAAAACAGTTCTAGATGTTAAGTCAAGTTTAGAAGTGCATGAGAATGGTTAATGCCAAATTCAGGGTGCTGGTTACTTCTGGGGAAGGAAGGAGACCAAAGAGGGAGGGAAGGACCAATCAACCATATTTGTGATCTTTTATTTCTTAAGTTAGGTGTGGATACATGGCTGTTGTGTTGTATTATTCTATTTTATTTTTAATGACTGAAATATTTAATAAGACAAGTAATACATGCTCCTGGTTAAGACATTTCAACTATACCAAAAGCTACAGGATGACAGCAAGTTTCTCCTCCACCACCACTTCTAGGTCCCCAGCCTGTCTCCCCAGAGGTGATCACTCTTTTCCCAGATTTTTCTGCACCCTTTCAGGAAAATCCTCCTCCTACTTATATATGTTCTTCCCTTAAAAAATACAGAATGGAAAATACCATTCACTCTGCTGTGCATTTTGCTTTTTAAAAGTTAACTATGCCTCTTGTGAGTTGCTTGTGACCTTAGCTGCACTTGACAATCCCTGGAGAGATTCTAAAACGACACCTACATGGCCCCTACCCCAGGCCAATGGTCTTAGAATCTTCGGGGTGGGGCCTGGTGTCCAGAGATTTCCCAGGTCATTGTCACCTACAGCTAGGATGGGGAACAACTGGTTTAGAGTGGGACACTAATTCTGAAGGTTAGAATTGAAAGAGGAGCCCTGAGGGGCTTTCTCTTTGGACAGAGTGGGACCTAGTGATGCATAGCTGTGTGGGAGAGTTTGATAAATGCTCTGGACTCATTGTCGGGCCTACCAATAATATCCTGGGTCTTGACAAATCGCACTGGTTCTAGATGAGAAATGGCATCTTCTCCAGGGCAACTGGAAGCTCCCTCATTGCTAGTCTCCACTCAGAGAGCATCCTCTCTTTCTACTTAAAAAAAAAAAAATTATTTAATTATTTGAGAGAGAGAGAAAAAAAGAGCATGAGGAGGGCAGGTAGGGGCAGAGGGAGAGGGAGAGAGAGAGAAAATCTCAAGCAGACTCCCCGCTGAGCACGGAGCCCAGTCCCACAACCACAAGATCACGACCTGAGCCAAAATCAAGAGTTGGATGCTCAACCCACTGAGCCACCCAGGCGCCCCCTCTCTTTCTCCTTTTTATGTTGAATGTAAAGTTTAGTAAAAATTTAAAAACAATAGCAGACCAAAACGGGGTAGGCTCCCCTACATTTTTTATAGATCTTACCAGGTTGCTCCGGTAATTCTGTACCATTTAACAGTCCCATAGAAGAATAAGTTTGCGTATTTACTGCATTTTGCTCAGCATTAAGTGTTATCACTTCATCTTATTTTTAGGTATTCTCACTTTCTTTTATTTTTGGTAATCAGATGGGTGAAAAACAATATATACTTGTGGTATTGAACGTTTAGTGGATTGCTAATGGGGTTAAGTATTATTTTGTATGATTCTTTGTAGAGACCAAGTTAGTTGAGCTAGGGGATGCAATTATATAAGAAGCTGCTATAGAAGAAACACAATCCCTGAGGGAGGGAGTAAGTAGTATCACAGTGTAAATCTGTGTTTAATGTGTTTTAATTATTATTTGTTTCTCCTCCTTCCTCTTCTTTCCTGCACACAGTTTCCAGATATCCTTCAGCAGACAGCTTCCAAGATAGCCGGGACCGTGCCCCCTCAAGAATTCCTCTGGGTTGTCTTTGACTCTGTTCGGAACAACAGTGAGAAGAGCCCCAGCTCTGCCCCCAGCCCCGGTGAGTGTTTCTGGGGTGTCTCAGCTGGAGCTGAGCATCAGGTGTTTGGCCTGAGTCCCTGGCATCCAGAGGCCTCCTTTGTCCAGGGGATTGGATGCAATGTTTGCAAAGCATCATGGCAAAAAGCCACAGGCCAAAGAATGACCCCTGTAGTAAAGTGATTTGGAATCACATCTTGTACTCCTTACCCAGGCCAGTCCATGGCAACAAACATTTCAAAAGAATTGACTTAAAGGGTGTAAATGGCTGAGTGACAGTGTATTGCAGTGCTGGGGCCAGGCTGTGAACCCTGGGTCTGTTGCTTACTGGCTGTGGGACTTTGGGTAAGCCCTTTAACCTCTCTGTGCCTCTGTGTTCATCCTCTGTAAGATGAGGGGAATGAAAGTCCCGATCTCCTTAGGTTGTTACGAGGGTTAGTGGATTGAAACCTGTAAAGGTCTCCCTCTCCCACGCCCCTTGCTTGTGTTCCCGCTCTCGCTGTGTCTGTCTCTGTCAAATAAATAAATAAAATCTTAAAAAAAAAGAAAAAAGAAACCTGTAAAGGTGTTCACAACAGTGCTGGGCAGTATAGGAAATGCTTCATAGGTGTTAGCTCTTTTTATGATTTTTGTGCACCCACTGAGCACAGACTTGGTGCCAAGCAGGAGGGGACAAGGTTAATCGGACCCAGTCATAATTGTAATAAGAATAGCTGGCAGTCAGTGCTTGCTTGCTTTCTTGCAAAAAATAATTATTGAGCACTGACTGTGTGGACAAAACGGACAAAAATCCCTGTCCTCAGAGGACTTACTTTCAAGGGGCTGGGCTGTGGGGGTGGGTACCCGACAATGAATCACACACACAGTAAATATAAGACATAGTATTTTGGGGGATGGTAAGTGCCAAGAAGGAAAAGAAAGCAAGGCAAGGAAGGGGCCAGGGAGTGGGGGGTGGGAGGTTATAATTTGCAAAGAAAACTGTGGAGGTAGGTTTCACTGAGAAGGGGACGTTTTGGGAAAGCCCCGGGGATCGTGAGCGTGGGCTGCTTGGACATGTGGCGTTGCAGTCTTCCAGGCAAATGGAAGTGTGACAGGAACAGAAAGGAATGGGACATAAGAGGCCAGTGGGACTGGAGTGCACGAGAGACAAGGCCACATAGGGCCTTATAAAGGAAGCCCTAAGGACTTTCTTTGTCTTTGAGTTGGGGTCTCATGGAGGCACCAAGCAAAGAAGTGTCACGATCGGATTTGTGTTTAACTCGGGTGGTCCTCTCTCCGTGCACCCCTGTCCTGTGATGTGGGTGCTGTGCTTGCTTCCCTTTCCTCGACACAGTGAACTGAGGTTCAGAGAGAGATTAAGAGACTTGGCCAAAGTCATGGAGTGAGGAATGGCAGCTCTTGGATCTGTGCCCAGAGCTGGTGGCGATCGCCATTAGCTCCTCCTGCTCTCACAGCCCAGCAGTCACTTGTCACATGGCAGCCCACCTGCTCTGTGCGTGCGGGCACGCGAAAGTAAGACTTGCCACACTCTGGGGAGGACCCTCTGTTAGGACTGCATTGTTGGAGTTTTCTTCCGTGGTTCTGGATATTCATTATTGCTGTGCTTATAGTAATTAATGGCATAGCAGAATTACTAGTTCGTTTCATTTTAGTTAATTTGTGTGTTGATTCATTCAACCAATATTTGCTAAACACCTACTGTGTGCCAGGCAGGGACCACAGCAGGATAAGACCAAGTCCCCGCCACAAGGTATAACCATTTTGTTCCTCTCTAATTCTGTACTATCACTGGATCCTGTTTTCATTGGAAAGTGGGGGTGGAGTTGGGGGAGTCTAGGAAGGATGTGTCTTTTGTGGTAAAGATGTTTGAGGACCACACGGTGCAACCTCAGTCTGGTCCACTTTCGCCTCTTGACTGGAGTCCAGTGAGTTGCCATTGAGAGGCAGTGAAAATGGAGTGGCCACAGGGCTTGGGAATGTTCTGGCTCAGGTGGTGCTGGTGAGTCTGTGAGCCTCAGAGGTGGACGGCTGCTAAGACAGGAAAGCCAGGATTGCTCTCCAGACAAGGAGCCTTGGGGGAACACCTGGGTGGCTCAGTTGGTTTAGCATCTGCCTTTGGCTTGGGTCATGATCCCAGGGTCCTGGGATCGAGCCCCGCATCTGGCTCCCTGATCCGTGGGGAGTCTGCTTCTCCTTCTCACTCTCCCTAGGTGCTTGCTCTCTCTATACATCTCTCTCAAATAAATGAATTAAAAAAAAAAAAAGACAAGGAGCCTTGGGTTTTCTCCCAGGTTGAGCACACTGGGGAGAAATATCCCATTTGTGTGTTGATGATGTTAACTGGTTTGACCAGGTGATGTTCAACTTAGTCAAAGACTGAAATGGATGGGTTTTCTCCTGTTGCAAAGGAAAATGCAACAGGCCCATTTCTCCTCTTTCCCAGAAAGTGGGAAGACCATAGCCTCCATGATGGCAAATCGTTCCTCCTTCCCACACTTAAAGATTCTATTTATTTATTTGAGGGAGAGAGTGCGCGCAAGCACACACACACAAGCATGGGGAGTAGCAGGCAGAGGGAGAAGCAGACTCTCTGGTGAGCAGGGAGCCCAGTGTGGGACTCGATCCCAGGACCCTGAGATCATGACCTGAGCCGAAGGCAGACGCTTGACCCACTGAGCCACCCAGGCATCCCACCCTTACCACACTTAAATAGGACTGTTTCTTCCTCGTAATTCTGGAAGCCTTAACTCTGGGTTGCAAACAAATGTGCGGTGGCAGCTGCTGGCAACAGAACTAATAAAAATAGCTTACAAGTATTGAGTGCTTACTGTATACCTGGCATCGTTCTAAGTGCTTCATATATAATAATACATTTAATCCTTCCAAAAATCTGTTGAGATAATTTTATCCTCATTTTACTGATGAGGGAACTGAGGCAGAGAGGGGTTAAATAGCTTTGGATTTGAATCTGAAGCCAGAACTGTTCACCACCAGCTCCCACTGCCCTCCAGGCGATTAGGAGCCCCACTGTAATGTCACAGAGCTCCTACTGTGTGCATGTGGCTGTGCAAAATTTGGCATTTCGGTGATTTTGTTACCAGATAATTAGCAAGAAGTGGCAGAAGTGGGATTCCAGCTGCTCCCGGCGTCCCTGCTCTCAGTGTCTACGCTATGCTGCCTCTCATGAATAAATCCACCTGGACAAGGAGATTACTCATTTCAATAAAGACTAACATTCCCTGAAGCTCTCTTTCTTCTCTTCCTCCCCATTCTTGAGGTTGCCATGGAGTCATAGCTCCTTCTTCTGGTGACATCTTCAAGTTGGCGGAAGCCAATGCCTGCTGGGCCCCCCAGGACCTGCTCTGCATGGAGGAACAGACGTTCATCAGGAGCGTGGAGCTTCTGGGGGCCGTCAGGGGTTTCAGCCTGCCTCAGCTGATGACCCTAAAGGAGAAGGCATTACAGGTAAAGCCCACCTCAGGGAGGGAGCTTTCAAGAGAGGGAAACCCCAGCATGACGGTCCCAGCACTTCTGTGTGTAGAACCCACCTCAGGGAGTTTTCACGTGCGTTGTGCCATTGTAATTTCTCTGTATCAACTCAGTGCCATAGGTGTGTGCTCCACATCCGAGAAATTTCTAGTTCCTCCTTCTCAGGGCTGTAGCAGAGAACAGAGATGTGTCTTGGCATCTCATGGACACTCAGTAAAAAGTTCTGTGGGTGTTCTGGTCCCTCTGAGACGGTTTCCAGGAATGGTGCCTTTTCTTTCTCCACTTGGAGAATCTCAATTGCTGCTTACAGCAGATTTTCTCAGAATCCATTGCAAATTTGTCTGAAAACGTAGTAGGAAGGAGTAAAACGGAGACTACAAGTCTTTTTCCATCTTTATAAAGTTCCCTTTGAGTGGCTTGTTTCAGCCATTTGGATAGTTGTAGACTATCTGGTTATCCTTGTGGGGTAAAGACATTAAGTTCCTTAAAATTATTTTTATAACTCTTTTTTATATAAATGACCCAAGTTTATTGTAGAAAAGTTGGACAAGTAATAAAAAAGAAAATCCGTCATAATCTTCTACCCAGAGATAAACATTGTTACTGTTTTGGTATAGTCATCTGAAGCTCCCCCAGACTTCTGTGTATGTGTATAAAATGTATTTATATATTTCATGTATACTCGCACATATATGTTAGAAAAAAATAATATCATGCTCACCCACTATTCAATAACTTGCTGTCAACACCCAACGGTATAAATGCATATTTTTCCATATCAGAAATATAAATTTATATCAGCATTTTAAATAGTTATATAATATTTCATATTATGGTTGGTCCTTTTTTTTCTGATCCTTATTTATTTAGCAAATTGGTAGACTTTTAGGTTGCTTATATTTTTTAATGCCTCAAGGTACATATTTTGTACATATTTTGGGGGGCATTTGTCTCTCATTATTTACTTAGGCTAAATTCCCAGAGGTGGATATTTGGGGTCAAAGTGTATAAATATTTTAGAAGCTATTGATATGCATAACCAAATTCCCTTCCAAAAATTATGTACTGATTTATATTCTCAATATCAATAAATGAGAGTATCCTTTACCACATATTTTTTCAACACCATAAATGATCGATCATTCTTTTTATTCCTTACCAATATGATCAGCTAACATGGTATTCTCTGATTGTTGTTAATGTAGAACTTAAAAAATTATGACCAAGATTGAACTTTTTTCCATGTCTGTTTCTTCTTTTGTGAATTTCTTGTTAATCTTTTTTTTCCCCAAAAATCAGTAAAACTTTATTTGCTTCTATTCTTTCACCATTAGCAGAAAACTGGAGAAAGCAAAAATGTTTTGTGCTCACAAAGATAAATGGCCTCTTTAGCCAGTAAAGATCAAAACCTCAAACTACAATAAGGAAGATAAAAGCACCCTCCCTCACATCCCCTGAGTTGTCCTTGTCATCTTAGACAAAACCTTAGTCCACTGGCGAGGGACCCTGTGTGTGGCCAATTCAAGATGAGGGCCAAGAAATCAGACCAATAAATTCTGGTGATAAAAAGTTGTTCTGTTCATGTCTTTTGTGTTTGTGTATATATGTGTGTATATACTGCACGTGTGTGTGTGTGTGTGTGTGTGTGTATACACATACATATATATATACTCACATACATATACACACACACACATATATACACCCATACATATGTATACACCCACGCACATATATACACACATACATGTATATACACACATATACACACATGCACATACATGCACACACACATACACGTATATATGCGCACATGCACACATACATGTGTATATACACGTATATATGCACACGCATACATATGCACACATACACGTATATACACACATGCATGTATATGCACACGCACATACATGCATACACATGCACGTATACACATACACACATACATGTATATACACATAAACACATACACACATGCATGCATATATACACATGCATATATACACATGCATGCACACACACATATACACATGCATATATACACACATACACACATATATACACACATACATATATACGCACATATGCATATATACACACATATGTATACATACACACATACATATACACACATAGCTGTATATATACACACATACATGTATATACACACCCATATATGTACATATATATACACCCATACATAAATACACACACATATATACACAAATACATACATATACACATATACATACGTATATACACACATACAGGTACATACATACATGTATGTATACACAATACACATACACATACATGTATATATACACATATACACATATACATATACACATACATATATATACACACATACACACACATATACACACACACACATATACAGTTGTAGTCCTTTCCTTATTGATTTATAAGAGAACTTCATATATTAAAGAGATTTACCCTATGTCTGTTTAAAATACTGTTAGTAATGGTCAGTCTAATCTGGATTTTTTTTCACTTGAAGGTTTGGGACATGCCTTCTTACTGGAAAGAATACCATATCATCTCCCTGGGGCGCATTGCTCTGGCTCTTAATGAGTGTGAGCTGCAGCAGCTGGATCTCAGCTCCATTGATACCGTGGCTTCCCTAAGCCGGCAGACCGAATGGACCCTGGGACAGGTAAGTAGATGTTGCTTGATCTTTTAAATATTCCATTTCTGTCTTAATTTTGTGTATATTTTCCTTTATGTCCTTGAACATACAGTATTTGTAATAGCTGCTTTAAAATCTTTGCTGCTAATTCCGTCATCAGTTATTTCTGAGTCTGTTTCTATAGACTAAGTTTTCTCTTAGTTTTGGGTTATGTATTTTTATTTTATATGCAAGGCTGGTAATTTTGACTGGCTGGCAATTCACAATGGGTATTGTGAATTTTATATTTTTTGAGTGCTTGATTTAGTTGTACTCCTTCGAAGGGTATTGGGCTTTGTTCCAGCATATATTCATTCATTCATTCATTCATTCATTTATATTTTTTAAATATTTTAAAATTCATTTTATTTATTTTGTTTTTAAAGATTTTATTTATTTATTTGACAGAGAGAGAGACAGCGAGAGCAGGAACACAAGCAGTGGGCGTGGGAGAGGGAGAAGCAGTCTTCCTGCTGAGCAGGGAGCCTGATGTGGGGCTCAATCCCAGGATACTGGGATCATGACCTGAGCCGAAGGCAGACGCTTAACAACTGAGCCACCCAGGTGCCCCTAAACATTTTTTAAATTTAAATTCAATTAATTAGGGATGCCTGGGTGGCTTAGTTGGTTAAGCGTCTGCCTTTGGCTCAGGTCATGATCCCGGGGTCCTGGGATCGAGCCCCACATCAGGCTCCCTGCTCAGCGGAGACCCTGCTTCTTCCTCTGCTTGTGCACATGCTCTCTCTCTGACAAATAAAGAAAATCTTTAAAAATAAATAAATAAGTAAATAAATTCAATTAATTAAAATATAATGTATTATTGGTTTCAGAGGTAGAGGTCAGTGATTCATTAGTCTTATATAATAACAGTGCTCATTACATCACATGCCCTCCTTAATGTCCATCACCCAGTACCCCATCCCTCCAGTGCCCTCCCCTCCAGCAACCCTCAGTTTGTTTCCTATGACTAAGAGTCTCTTATGGTTTGTCTCCCTCTCTGGTTTCATCTTGTTTTATTTTTTCCTCTCTTCCCCTATGATTCTCTGTTTTGTTTCTTAGATTCCACGTTATCAGTGAGATCATATGATAATTGTCTTTCTCTAATTGACTTATTTCGCTTAGCGTAATACTCTCCAGTTCCATCCATGTCATTGCAAATGGCAAGATTTCGATTTTTGATGGCTGAGTAATGTTCCATTGTATATATATACCACATCTTTTTCCATTCATCTGTTGGTGGACATCTGGGCTCTTTCCATAGTTTGCCTATTGTGGACATTGCTGCTATGGACATTGGGGTGGATGTGCCCCTTAGGATTACTACTGGTATACATTTAAATTACTTTCAAATCAGTCTGATCCTTTTGAGGCTTCCTTTTTAAATAATTAATTAATTAATTAATTAAAAAATTTTTAAAGATTTTATTTGAGAGAGAGCAGAGCAAGAGAGAGAGGGAGACTGAGAGAGAGCACTAGTGGGGGTGGAAGGGCAGAGGGAGGAGAAGCAGGCTCCCCGCAGAGCAGGGAGCCCAATGTGGGGCTGGATCCCAGGACCCTGGGACCGTGACCTGAGGCAAAGGCAGGCGCTTCACCGACTGAGCCACCCAGGTGCCCCAAGGCTTCCTTTTGAGGATTATTAAGGTAAGTCCAGAGTGACCTTTATTCTGTAGTTAACTTATCTCCATTATTCAGACATGATTCTACTGGAGACTCTGCCTAATGCGCTGTGTATTTCCAGACCCCTCTTTCTGGCTGGTGGGAATGCGATCTCTTTCCAACTCCATATGAGCTCTGAGAATTGTTCAGCCTATCACTTTCTGATGTGTCTTCCAACTTATGTAGATTTCACTCCTGGTCTGTGTAGCGAGGTCAGTACTCAGCCAGATGGGGGAAGACCTCTCTCTCTTCTGCCAAGTTTCTCTTCTGGTGTTCTCTCTCTCTGAAGTTTTCTACTCTCCAGTACTTCCCCCCACAGATTACAGGTGCCCTGGCCTCTCTGACCTTGGATCTCTATGTTTTCAGCTCAGCTGGACCACTGGGTTTGTTTGGGTTCCCTTTCCTGCTCCTTGGCCTGGAAAATGCTTCTTGGCAGTAAGCAAGAGCAATTTCAGGCTTTCCTTATTTATGTTCCCTCTTTCAGGATCATAGTCCTGTGTTCTCCATTGTCCAGTGTCTGAATATAGTTGTTTCATAGATTTTGTTCAGTGTTCTCATTGCTTAGGAAGTTGGTTTCTGTGTCAGTTAATCCTTCATGCGTTAAAGAAGAAGGTCTCTCCAGAATTTAATTGTTTCAACTGGGAGGGATGTTAACCCACTGTATTGCTAGAAAGGGGAGTCTTACCTCTCTGTGGTATCTTCATGTTCAGGCAACCCTCCCTTAGTGGTCAAATTCAACACCGGCTTTCCATATTATCTACTTAGCATCCCCATAAAGAAAGAGCCCCTCTTGCATGAATTTTTGAAAAAGTCCCAGCATTGACTCCAATTGCGCAGTTGCCCACCCCAAGCAGTCACTGTGATCAGGAGTAGAATATGTTGGTTGGCCAGGCATGCATCAGGGAGTGGGGTCCATCTCAACATGACCCTATGAACTGACAGGGGGAATGGAGGGTGGGAGACTGCATAAGGCCCCCAAAGACATCTGTGCCCCAATCCCTGTGAGCTTTGAAGATGTTCCCTTACGTGGCAAAAGGGATTTTACAGATCTGATTAATTTAAGGATCTTGAGATGGGAGGATTCTCTTGATGAGCCCAGTGTAATCACAAGGGTCCTTAGGAGAAGGAGACGGGAGGCCACAGATCCAGGAGGCCGTGTGACTAGGGACGCAGAAGGACACAGAGAAAGATTTGAAGGCACTCGGCTGCTGATTCTGAAGATGGATGATGTGGCTATAGGCAGCCTCTGGAAGCTAGAAAAGGCAAGGAAATAAATTCTCTCTAGAACCTCCAGAAGGAACAACCTCCAGAGGAAACAAATACGGGGTAGTTCACCCAAGGAGAAGCATGGTGTTCTCAAACAAAGGGAGGATGGGTGCTGGGCAGGCAAAACCAATGGATGTCCCCCAGTCTCATGAGCTTTTTGGAGTCAGTATGGCCATGTCCCATAACTCTGGCCCCATTCAAACACAACACAATGTGAATTGCACCCCACCCCCAACCCCGGAGCTGGGCAGCATGAAGACCCTGGCCGTGAGGATTATGCGAGTCAATACATGTGAAACATTTTGAACAATGCCTGGCACATAGAATTCAGTAAAAATTAATTGTTTTCATTGTTGTGGCTGCTGATGCCACCATCATCACCACCACCACACTTGCTCTCTTTGGCATCTCACCTCATTTGCAAGACGGTCTAAACCCAGCAATCTGGGGTTTCTTCCATCCTGACACTCTATAAAGACTGATTTTGACTGTTTGAGAAGTGCCACATCACCCTTCAGATATTAAAATATTTACAGTCTGGGAGAAAACAGAAAAATATATCCAACTTAGAAACTAGAGAATTTCCCTTTGCACCGATTTTAATTCACACGGATGCCAGTGAGATTTATCAATATGTTTGAAGACGATATGAAAACCTAATATTTGCATATATCATTTGCAGTCAGTTCCTCAACTTTCGCTCCCAAACCCTTAAATGCATGTTTCTAGATTAATAGTCAGACCTGGTGGAACTACATTAACAGAGTTCAGTTTAAAAACCAATTTAAGAGGAGAAAAAAACTATTAGAGAAGCCAGAGGGATGAACAGAGAGATTGAAATCTTACAGCTATTCATTTTTCAGAGGGTTAATATTGCCTAAAAATGTTAGTATTAATTGTCTTGGAATCATTACAGATACACTGGTCCAGTCATTCAAGTAAATATATTTTGGCTTATCACCTTGCAGGCTGAGCTTGCATTTTCCAGGTTCCAGTGGCAAGGACAATTTAATACCGCATCTTCAAAGTAATTTTATTTGAATCGTATTTTCGCACTTTCATTTTAAAATGGGCACGCCTGATAGTTGGGGAGCACAAATTGTTATGAGTCAACTAGTGACACCTGATTGTGAAGCCTTAATAGGAAAAGTTCAAAAGCGACCTCAAATCTCTCTCTTCTCTTCATACCCAAACATCTTCACTAAGAGTACAAGCTCTGGAGTCGGAATGCCTGGGTTTTAATCTTAGTTATTTGCCTGCTGTGTAGCCAATGGGGCTTAGTAACTTTACCTCTCTGGGCCTCAGCTTCCTCATCTGTGAGAATGAGAATAATATTAATACTTCACAGGGTTGAGGCGCCTGGGTGGCTCAGCTGGTTGAGCATCTGCCTTCGGCTCGGGTCATGATCCCAGGGTCCTGGGATTGAGCCCCGCATTGGGCTCCTTGCTCAGCGGGAAGCCTGCTTCTCCCTCTGCCTCTCCCCCTGGTTGTGCTCTCTCTTTCTCTCTGACAAATAAGTAAAATCTTTTTTTTTTTTTTGAGGATGATTTCTTTTAAGATTTTAGTTTTGTGAGAGAGAGAGAGAGTGAGCATGAGCATGAGCATGAGAGGGAGAAGCAGACTCCCCAGGGAGCAGAGAGCCCAATGCAGGACTCAATCCCAGGATCCTGGGATCACGACCTGAGCCAAAGGCAGACACTTAAGCGACTGAGCCACCCAGGTGCCCCAAATAAATAAAATCTTTAAAAAAAGTACTTCACAGGGTAGTTGTGAGGGCTAGATGAGATGGTATATGTAAAGTGCTCCCCATGCAAACATTCGGTAAATATTAGCTATTATTATTTTGGACGTACATTCCCATTCAGAGACATTTAAGTCTGAGTGTGATATTACCAAAACTCCCCTATGGAACCTGCGAGTTTTATAATCACAATCTCCCTGAAGCCAATCCATCATGTGAAAGCAGCAATCTGATGCCACTTCAAAAGAGCATATATTGCCTATAACTCTATAGATCACTCACTCAGATATTCATTAATTCATTTAAAAAGTCCTTATCGGACTGAACTGTGTGCCAGGCATCATGCCAAGTGGTAGGGGTACATTGGTGAACTAGCTGGATACATTGTGTGTCTCTGGGGATTCTACTTGGTGATACAAGACAAAAAAACTGAGCACAGTGAAAAATGCCTTAAAATTGTGATAATTGATAACAGAAAATGGGCAAAGTGTTCAGGGAAATAGGGAGGGAGGCTGTTTGAGGTCGGGGAATCAGGCAGTCTTCTCTGGTGAGGTAGCATTTAGACAGACCTGGGGGATAGGGAGGCAACAGACATGAAAAGTGGAAACCCAGTGCAACATTTCCCAATCTTTGCCAACACTTCCTCTCAACACTGTAATGATTCTTACTGTGTGATGGCATGAACCTCTGGTAAAATGAGGTGGGAAGACTCACTGGATCCCTGTGACCCTCACTCCCACTCAGATGTTTGTCCTTGGATGTCTCCTCCCCATCTTTGCCTTGTGAGCTCTTGTCCTCTTTTGCACCTGCCCCTATGAGCACTGAGGGATCCAGACTTTATTATACAGTTCACCTCCAAAGGATTGACTTGAATCCTTCCTCGGGTCCAACATAGGTAGTTCAAATGAATCAGGGTTCATTTCGTTACAGGTGGCAGGAAAAACAACTCAAAGTGCCTTGACCAGGCAAAGAAATTTATTGGCTCCCATAACTGAAAAGTTCAAGTGTAGAGTTCAGGTGTGGCTGGATCCAGATCTTCAACACTATGGTCAGGCATCTATCTGTCACCATTTTGACACTGCTTTCCTTTGTGTTGGCTTCAGTCAGAGGCAGGCTCTTTGCAGGCAGTGAATTCTAGCAGATCCAGGTGTTTATCCTTCCAAGGCCCAGTCCAGAGTAAAGAATGTTCTCCTTCCAGATAAAGAAGGCTGTCTTACTTCCCTATTTCAATTAGGACATCCCTAATTATTCCAGTCAAAGTCCTGGCTGGTTTTCACTGGATCACAGGCCCATCTAGAACACATCATGGCAGCCAGGCTAAGAGATGACTTGACTAGTCAGGACTGGGCCATAGCATCCCCCCTGGAACTCAGAAGGCAGTTAGCTCCACCTGAACCACGTGAAGTAAGAGTGGGAGGGGTACCTCTCCAGGGAAAGTCATGAACAATGAATGGCTACTGTGCAAGAATTTCAGGGACCCTATACAGCAACCCCCTTAAAGCTCACTGAAGAGATCCCTCTGTGGTTTTCAATACCAAAACATTTGTTATACTATTCTCTGGAATTGAAGAGAGAGGGATAAACCTATTAAAGTCGGACTTTAGAGAAAGAAAAATTAACTGTGGTTGAGATCGTGAGGGAAGACTTCATAAAGAAAGTGACATTTGACTTGAACCCCCGAAATAAAAAGATGGTTGGATTTTATTTTATTTTTTTGTAAAGATTTTATTTATTTATTTGACACAGAGACACAGGGGGAGTGGGAGAGGGAGAAGCAGGCTTCCCGCAGAGCTGGGAGCGCGCGGGGCTCCATCCCAGGGCTCTGGGATCATGACCTGAGCTGAAGGCAAATGCTTAACAACTGAGCCACCCAGGCGCCCCGAAGGTTGGATTTTAACATTTGGGAAGGCAGGACGCGCATTAAAGATGGAGGGACTGATTTGAGCAAAGGCAAAAAAGCAGACTATTAAAAGGTTTTGTCAGAAAGTTCTGGAGACTCAGGGTGCCTGGGTGGCTCAGCTGGTTAAGCATCTGCCTTCAGCTCAGGTCATGATCCTTGGGTCCTGGGATCAAGTCCCACCTCAGGCTCCCTACTCAGTGGGGAGCCTGCTTCTCCTGCTCCCTCTGCTGGCCACCCCCCGCCCCCCGCCTGTGCTCTCTGGCTCTCTCTCTATGTCAAATAAGTAAGTAAAATCTTTAAAAAAAGAAGTTCTGGAAACATGATGGAGAAGTTTGGATCCTGATGCAGGAGAACTCAAATGAGCAAACTATCTGAAGGTCATGAGTGACTGAAGAAAATAAGCTAGCAGACACAGACATAGGATACAGTTCCTTTAGTGCTGGTGAAGGGTACAAGAGTTTCACTGCCAAAACACACCTCTGTGGATGAGGGGACATACTCACTAGAAGCAGCACCTTAGGGACATGAACCTGGAGGCAGTGGCTAGGATGGTTTGGAATGGGGGGTGCGTCCAGAGGAGTAAATCGGGGATTGGTTGGTAGGCTACTGCTGTAGCTCAGTTATCCCCTCAGGCCTTGGGGTTTTCATCATCCCTGGATAGTTCCTCTTTTATCCTTCCTTATTTTTCTAGGCTAAATCTATTCTGCAAGGGTTCCTGGAGGATTCAGGCTACAGTATCCAGGATCTGAAGAGCTTCCACTTAGTAGGACTTGGTACAGCCCTGTGTACTATGAACGTCACCGAAATCTCACTCATAAAGATCTCAGAATTCAGGTATCCAAACCAGTAGTGTTCAAAATGGCAAATGATTGATTGGCCAGTTCATTCATTCAGCAAGATGTCTTTTGCTTCCTGATGCCTTGCCCCCTTTCTGGGTTAAAATGAGGAGTGGAATCAGCTGGATCCTTTCTGGATGCTGAGCCTACCTACCTTCTGCACACCTGTCGTGTCTGGAGAGTCTCCCAGGCTTGCACTGTATCCTTCCCTCTTAACCAGGGTGGTGGTGGCCAGAATCGGGACCCTGCTCTGTAGCACCCATGTCTTGGCCGAGTTTAAGAGGAAGGCAGAAGTTGTATTTGGGCATCCCACCAAATGGTCCAGCTCTGTCCTGCAGGAACTTGGGACTATTGCAGGTAAGGCACCTCGAGCATGCCTCCTCTCCCTTTCCAACCTGAAATCTGGAGACAAAAGCAAAAAAAAAAAAAAAAAAATACTAATAATAACAATAACAATAAAAGAATCCTTGGCTGTACGTAGTGAACATCTGTAAAGTTATAGTAGAATCTAGATTCATGACTTGAGGTTGCAGAGGGGGGTCTACAAATTTGCTCTTTAAACAAGCTCTCTTTGTGGTTCTTGTGTACACTAAAGTGGTTTAGGATGTGATTTAATTGACTTCTAAATAGTTTTATACACAATCTGAAATTGCATAAAGTGAAGCTCCTTCTGGGCCTACTTTTCATTGTAGGAGACCAATCAGGGCTGATGTGACCCAATTTTTCTTTTTCTTTTTTTTTTTTTATCAGAGTTGATTAAGGAACTTGATTCTCCAGTGTGATTTTCAAGGCTTTTTGTAAGGAATGACGCTTGCCTAGAACACACAGATCTGTACATTATGTAGCACCATTAATAAAATAAGTGGAGTTCCGATGTCTTGAACTAAACCCTTGTGATGCCTTTTTCTCCCCAGCTGGATTAACGAAGGAAGAGCTACAAATGCTGGACAAGGATTTGATGCCGTATTTCCAGCCATCAGCAATCAAATGCCTTCCTGATGAGATATTCAAAGTAGGTACTCAGTTCTTCAAGGAGAATAGGAGCTTGACTCCATTTCAAATCAGAGACAGATGGCAGGCCTTGGATTCTAGGGGCTTGCAACCAGATTTCTGCTGATAGGGCCAGAGGAGAGGTGTATGCCAACAATGAATGGGTCACAAGATAATTTTAGGTTTAAACACATTTTTTCCTTAAAATTTTATGTTTAATTTGTATTTATTTTTATGGTTGGCCTCTCTTCATAGCAAGGTATTGATTTTCTATTTATGATGGTATGACAGAGTCATATTTCTTTGTCTAGAACCCTTGGGAACAGATACATTTCAGAATTCAGAATTTTCCAGATTTTAAAAAGATAACTCTGTGAAACTCCAGTATGTAATTTAACACCCTCAGCAGTGTCTGAGGAAGCACCTTATACATTAATGTTTCTGCGAAGAAGTCAGTGATGCCACACTAATTGGAATAAATAGAGACTATAAATGGCCTTACATCAATTCAAGGTTTTGCAGGCAAATAAGTTTGTCTTAAACTTTGGGAAAAACATTCAGTTCTGAGATTTTTTTGGACTTCAGAATGGCCGATGAGGAATTATGACCTGTATAACATTTCCTTTTTAAATTGATTGAAGTAAACATATTTTAGTTGATTTAAAGAAAAGTATTGAGAAAACCTCAACAGGACAGATGAGAAATGGCTATAGACGAAATTGAGGAGGTGGCATTGGATCAGCTGATGTTAGGGAAACAGGGTAGGCAGGGCCTTGTGTCCCCATACGAGCTTAGGGGAGTGTTTGGTGGGGACTGCAGTCTGCTCTGATAAGGAGTGGCCCTGGTGTTCTCACTTGCTGGGTAACTTGGAAATAAATTCTATTCACCACCACTGTGGAAGACACACAAATGAGGTTGGACAGACGCCCGTGATGCCACATCACTGGTTCATTTCAAGATGGATAGCCCACCTTGAACGACTTCACAACACAGGACAGTTTCCAGCACAGAGTAGGTGAAATAGCTGTTTGGGGGGAAATAAATAGTAGTCCTGAAGGCTTCAGAGCTGCCCTTCTGGGGGTTTCTGCAGGGCAGAGGTGGCTTGGTTCTGGATGCTGGCATGTTGCTGAGCACTTTCCCTTGGTTTTGTTTGGAGTGCACTTTGTGGTTGTTTCCTTGTTCAGGGATTTGTCTTTTTCAGAAATTTCTAGGTGCACCTGGGGACGCACTGGTGAAAAGGTATAACCTAGCGCTTCAGGGCTTTAGGAGTAACATAAGACAGTGCAGTGGCCTGTGGCCTGGGTAGAGTCCAAGGTGAATAAACTTAGCCCTGAATGGGGAAGCTGCTTCTCATCTCTGGCACATCAGCGCAGTGTGACAATGTGGGCCCAGTATTGCTGGATCTTCCTTTTATTTTTTTATTATTATTTTATTTACGATTCCAGAGGTCTCCATTTTCATGTGAAACCTGCTGATAATCAAATGTTGGCAACCACTTCGAATTTATTTTTTTTAAAGCACAGTCCAGTGGGCCTAGAGATTCCGTCTGGCTGGTGGGTTGCAAGTCCGCCATGTTGGAAAAAATAGATAATTTATAGAATACGGACTGTGTTAACGGTAGATGGAAGGTGTAAGCCAGAAGAGTACCTGTGTTGTGTGTGTGTTGGGGGGGGCGGGGAGAGGTGATGCTGACCTTGCATGACAGGTTAGCTAGGTTGGAGGGAGGAATAGCGCTCCAGGCAGAAGGAAGTACATAGCAGAGGTGCTGCCCCCTGGGGGCTGCAAATACGGGTGCTCATTCTTCTGTAGCGAAGAGTGCCAATGGGAGGCAACTGGACAGGTGGGCTTGGCCCAAAGCTTGAGGGCCCCATTGCCACATTCAGGAACTGGAACTGTGTCCTGGAGGTGGGGGCAGGGAAGGGTTCTAAGCAGGGGAAGCATCTCCCTAGACAGGGAATAAGAAGAGGGTGAAGGAGGAAATAAAAAATATAACCCCTTTCCCAGAATCTTTGGGGCCCTTAGAAAGTAAGCAGCATGATTTTAGATGCCTCTCTACAAATTCAGAATCCTGCCATCTCATCTGCCATCCCATCTCATTCCAGACCCTCTGGAACTAGCCACCAAGTCCTCTGAGCTAGAAGCAGCTTCAGTCAACATCTTGTTCAGGGTCCTCAAAGACATAAGTGTACTTGGCAGAAGTTCCCACTTGCAGTGGCCATGGCAGACGTCACTAATAGATTACCACATCTTTCCACCACCTAGCCGTCGCAGGGCTCACCCACAGGGTGCGCAGGCAGTCATGCCAGAGGATCAGAATCCACACGGGAGAGGAGTTCTTGGCGCCATCCCACATCTAGTCCAAAAGCCCAGAGAGGCTGTGAAATTTGCTCGAGGTCACACAGCTAGTATGTGGCAGAGCTGGGACACAGATTCAGATCTTTGGCCTTAGGCTTGTGTTTTCTCCTCTATGCCAGGGTTTCTCAGGTGGGGGACTTGAAACCTGGGGGAAGCACCTCGCGCTGAATTAAACAACATTAAGTCACACAGTGAGAAAATCATGACTTTCTTTCCAACTCTCCTTTGATGCTGATTACTTCAATGAGGAGGTCTCAGTTTGGAGCTGAAGTGTCTTTAACCCTCTATAACACTTCAAGTCTCCTCTTCTTGATTATTTTTTAAGAGGCCTTGGGTTCAGACATTGTTGGCCAACAAAGCCCGCTCAAATTCAATAATGTTCATTTCTTTTGGCTTATTGTTAATGATTACTGATGGCAAGTCACTTTGGTCTTCCATTTTTGGAAATTTCCACCTAAAATTTTCCATTTAAAAAATAAATGTATTCTAGTAGTAAAAAGAGCGATGTGATTTTAAGGAAAAATCTCAAGAAGAGCATAAATGGTACATGGGTATGGCAAAGTTGTGCGGGCCCTGGGCGGATGACCGAGGTTTGGGAAGGCCGCGGAGGGCCCGCCCCCGAGGGCCTCCCCCTGAGGGCGCTGTCCCCTTTCTCCGCTGCAGGAGCTGTCCATGGAGCAGATCGCCTCGTTGGGCCCCGAGAACGCCGCGGCGGTGACCCCAGCTCAGCGCCGGCAGCTCAGCATGTTGCAGCTGCAGAGCCTCCAGCGGGCGCTAGATGGCGCCAACACTCGCTCCTGGCTGGACACGCCCCCAAGCGCCAGTCCCACCTGGACCCCCTCCTCTGGTTCTCCTCCTGGTGAGCGGGACAACCCTCTGCCCGGGCCCCCACCCCTAGCCCCCTTCCCTGTCCCTGAGTACCGCCCTGCCCGGCCTTGGGCGGGGAGGTTCCTAAAGATTCAGAACGGGGTCTCACAGTCTTCGGAGACTGCATTTAGAGAAAAATCCAAAGTCCCAACCAAGCGTATGTAAATGACGCTCAACTCTGGCTGTGCTTTCAAGTCACCTGGGGGAACTTGTAAAACAGCCGGTTTCGTGGACCCCACCCAAACTCGTTGAATCAGATCCTCTCGGGGCTAAATGCATTTCAGCGGTTCCCTTGCATCCTACTTCCTTCTCACTGACCAGTATTAATTAATAAATTCAACTGGTATATATTGGGCACCTACTATATGTCAGGCCTGCAGCAGGAGCTGGGAGTACAGAGGTGAGAAGACAGGTAAGGCTGTCTTGTAAATGAACAAGGTGATTTCACATCTGGGAAGACCGGGGAAGAAAGGAGGCAGAAGGAGGTGATGGTGACTAGGGCCGAGCTAGGATAAGAGGGTTGGTCCTCTCTTCCTTACCCCCGTCACTTCTTTGTGACCCCTTCTATCATTAGTGAGCACCATCTTTGGACGAGCCGTGGTGTTGGGCTCTGGGGAGACAGCAGTGACCAAGGCAGATGTGTCCTTGGTGCTCGCTAAGCTCTCAGTGCAGCATGGGGGTGAGGGAAGGCATACCTAGCCCGGCGACCATGAGGCAGTATGACAGGCGCTGTGACAGGGAACACATGGGCGAGACAGCTGACCTAGGCTTGGGGGTTCAGGGAGCGGCCATGGAAACTTCCCAAAGACGGTAATGTCTAGACTGCAGCCCAGGTTGAGGAGAATATGGACTCAGCCCCATGGGGCTGAGTGTCCCAGGTAGAGAGAGCAGCAAATACCCAGTGAGCAAAAAGAACTTGGTGCTCAAAACCTCCACTCTACCTTCTCCTGACGTGCGTATCTCCCTCCGTCTGCCCCAGCCTTCCCTTGGGGTTGGAGAACAGGGGAATTCCCAATTTGTGCAGCCACGAGTGGCCAGAGGTGGCACCTTTGATTTACTATTATTGTTATTTTTTTTAAAGATTTATTTATTTGAGTTGGGGGGAGAGGGGCAGAGGGAGAGGGAGAGAATCCCAAGCTGACTCCCCACTGAGCTTGGAGCCCAATGCAGGGTTCAATTCCATGACCCTGAGATCATGACCTGAGCTGAAATCAAAGAGTCAGATGCTTAACTGACTTAGCCACCCAGACGCCCCTGATTTACTATTATTATTTTAAAAACTTTTCACTGAAGTATAATATGCATTTAAATTTTTTGTTTTAGAGAGAGCTGAGTGGAGGTGGGGAGTGGGAGGGAGGGGCCAAGGGGGAGAGAGAGAGAATCTTAAGCAGGCTCCACACCCAGTGCAGAACCTGATGCGGGGCTCAATCTCATGGCCCTGCAATCATGACATGAGTTGCCATCAAGAGTTGGATACCTGGGACGCCTGGGTGGCTCATTTGGTTAAGCGTCTGCCTTCGGCTCAGGTCATGATCCCAGGGTCCTGGGATCGAGCCCCGCATCAGGCTCCCTGCTCAGCGGAAAGCCTGCTTCTCCCTCTCCCACTCCTACTGCTTGTGTTCCCTCTCTCGCTGTCTCCCTCTCTCTGTCAAATAAATAAATAAAATCTTTAAAAAAAAGAGAGAGAGTTGGACACCTAACTAACTGAGCCACCCAGGTGCCCCCATTTAAAAATTATTTTTAAATATTGTGTTTTGTGTGTATTATATAACACAAGAGAATGCGCAAGATTCAAACTATGTAAGGGCTGGAAAGGAATGCAGTGTGATGTCTCCGTCTGTCTGTCCCCTGTCCCCTCGTCACCCATTCCTTCCCCAGAGGCAAGTAATGTTACCAGCTTCTTGTGTATTTGTCCAGGGATAGTCTATACCTATCCATAGATTATCTCTGCACTTTTATAAAAAGGATGTTATACCCTTTGTTCTGCACCTTGCATATCTCATCTAACAATATATTTTGGAGACAGTTCTGTATCTGTACATAGTAGCCTTGCAATTGTTGGTTTTCTGGCTACACCATAAGTGTATTTAACCAGATGTCTACAGAAGGATTTTTACGTTTTTGTTTGTTTGTTTGTTTGTTTGTTTTTTAACTATTACAAACAAGGCTTCAGGGGATAACCTCTTACCATTTGCATCTGTTTGAGTATATCTGCAGGATAAAATCTTCAAAGTGGGATTGCTGGGTTAGAGGGTGCATGCATTTGTAATTTTGTTGGATATCACCAAATCCCCTGTAGAGAGGCAGGACCAGTTTTCCCTTGAACCAGCAGTGTCAGAAAGTGGTGTCCCTGTAGGACCCCGGATGCCTTCTCCTTCCCTTCACTCCACAGGCCCTTCCTATCGGTGAGGCCCTTAATCTCTTGTTTCCTAAACTTACTTCATTATCAGGATCACCTGGGAGGAATCTTTCAAATACAGATTCCTGGGGCCTCATCCCAAGCTTGCTCAATCACAATCTCCAGGGGAGGATCCTGGAATTTGCATTTTTTTCTAAGATTTTATTTATTTGAGAGAGCGAGAGCGCCTGTGAGTGGGAGAGAGCATGAGCAGGGGCAGGAGGGAGGGGCAGAGGGAAAGGGAGAAGCAGAGTCCCCACTGAGCAGGGAGCCCAAAGTGGGCTCGATGCTAGGACTCCGAGATCATGACCTGAGCCAGCCAAGCGCCCCCTGGAATTTGCATTTTTAACAATCTCCCCAGTGACTCTTATGATTAAGGCAGCTCTGGTAAAAGCTGATTCACACGATGTCATTTAATTTTTACTCCCCTGTGGCAGCCCCCTTCCACGCCCCCTGCTTTGGGGTCATTATTCCCGTGTCTGAGAAGAGCAAACAGCATTCTGGGAGATCAAGGGAGTGGTCCAGAAGGAGACCCAGGGAGCTGGGGATGCTGTGTCTGCCCTCCGAGGGCTGCTGAGACCTCGTGTGCACTCCTGTCTCCTTCTAGGAGGCCCTGTCACCTGGGGTCCTTGGCTTGGCTGTCCTCTGCTGGTTCTCCTGCACAAGACCATGTGGTGAGCGGCGCGTGCACATGGCCCTTCAGTGCCCAAGCAGTGGGCCCCGGCGTGTGGAAACAGAGGCACTGCAGACTGTGAGACCCCCTACCCCCACCCACAGCCTCCACTGGGGCAGGGAGTCCCCAGGACCTGGAAATTTAAAAGGCACTGAAAGGAAGAATAATTATTAAAAATGATCCTAAAAAGTTCTTAAGCTGGCCTGTATCCTCAGCAGAGAGCCATTCTCTGCCCTGTTTCAGCCTCTCTTGCTTTCTAGCTTGGGGACAGAGAAACTGTGGGGAGGGAAGGGTGTTTTCTGTCAACAGCATGAGGACAATATGTACAAGTCACTGCCCTCCCTCCAGAGAGAGATGTCAGGGGGTGGCAGGTGTTGGCAAAGGCACCATTTTAGCCGGGGTCTGATCTGGCTTCTTCTCTGGCTTAACGTCCCTCCCTTGGAGCTATAGGCTGCATTGGATTTCTCCTTCTTAGATATTTAGTAGAGCTGAAATAAATGAATCCCTCAACAGAAGCCAATATTCCTGCCTGATTGCTGGGTCTAATTGATGTTCGGTGGGTCTTGCATTGCCTGGAAATTAAAACATTTAACACGGCTCAACATTAAATCAATTTTTAAATACATTTTCCAGATGCCTTCCATTTCTTGGGAGTCAGCTGAATGAATGGTCGTGGAGTTATCAGTTAAGCTTTCAAAAAATTCCTTTTTTGACGAAATTGGTGGCTCTTCTGGGTTTAAGTTGTTCTGGGCTTTGGGGATGTGTTGAAATAAAAGAAAATACACATTGTAAGTCAGTTACCCATGTGATTATTGCCCAGCAGAGGAAAGTCAGCCCACTGGCCCAATCCTTTTGGAGGCTGGGAGGGATGGAGTTCCTTCTGGAAATCTGCAGGATGCTCTTTGCCTTCAGCTCAGGAAAGGGGGACGGAAGTGTACTTTGCCACCTCCCAGGCTGTTACACCGTCTCAAAAACAAAAACCAGAGTTGTTTCTCGTGACTTCCCTTAGGTAGCAAGTTAGGCATCCTGGGCACTTGTGTTCTGCCACCAGCATACCCTGAGTTCTCTTCCTGGTCACATGTCCACAATAGACATCTAGATAAGACGAAAAGCCTGCATGAAATCCCAAACATCTCTGGCATTCCATAAGAGGTGGGAGGATTTTAAAAAGCAGCATGGGTAGGTGTTATAGAGACTGGTGTATTTTCAGATGTCACATGCAGTTATTCTAGAACATCAAAATACTGGCATATGGAAGGTGTGGCCCCGCAGGTGCTATGTAGGGTCTGACTTGGTTCTTTGTTAATGTTGGCGGGGAAGTGGCAGCTCATGTTGCTTCTCAATCACAGGTCATTGATCTTGTTACTGACAGCACCAGCCGCCCAGTTTAGCTGGGCCAGACTGGCTGATCAGAGACGGGGGTTGCATGAGAATGGGTCTGTGCGGGTTCTGATCGGGTCCAAGCAGACTTGGATCCAGCTCAGTTCCCACTTTTTCCTTTGGCCTTGGATTTTCCTGGGGAACATCAATAAAGACAACTTCCCTTTGAGTCAGACTTCATGCTGCCAATGTCATGGAGTTTTGTGCCTCACCTTTCCCTTCTTCTTCTTCTTCTTCTTTTTAAATATTTATTGACTTATTTTAGAGAGGGGGGAGAGAGCATGAGTGTGCATTCGAGCAGGGGGAGGGGCAGAAGGAGAGGGAGAGAGAATCCTCAAGCAGACTCCCTACTGAGCATGGGGCCCGACATGGGGCTCGATATGGGGCTCGACATGGGGCTCGATCCCAGGACCCTGAGATCATGACCTGAGCCAAAATCAAGAGTAGGCTGCTTAACCAGTTGAGCCACTCAGGTGCATCACATCACCTTCCCTTCTGATCTTTTGGTTTTGATTGAATTCCTGGACCCTCATCCCATGTTGGATGACAGAAGTGACTCCCAGAGGGCCAGCTCTGTATCAGGCCCTGCTCTGAGGGCTCTGCCTGTATCCTCGCTCACTTTGTTGTCATCACAACTCTGCCAGGTGGATGTAGGATTCCCGTTTTCCAGATGAGGGGACTGAGTCCGAGAGGTTAAGGAACTCTAGTCGAAGGCCTCTTGGATAATGAGGATTTGTATCTTGACTTTTTACCTTGCACTATGCTGCCTTCTGGATGAGTATCTTTTAACTTCTTCAGTAAGTCAGATCAGAGAGAGATTCTGTAAATCCCTTCACATCCTCCTCTGGCGGGAGGCCAGCTTGCCTCATAGCACATATAATTGGTGATTGCCTCAGGCAGGAAGACAAACCCAGTTTATGCCCTGCAGGACCCCTGGGGTCTCAGGTTGAGATGCGCAGTCCTTTGCATGCAGGGAAGCAGCAGGTCACTCTGGCAGGTGCTGCTTCCGTTCATCTTTCAATGTCAACCCTGCCGTTGGATTCCCAGCCTCCATCTTCTACAACTTATAACTCTCCTCCCCTCCCCCATGCAGGGATCATAGTCACTCACTCCCGTGCAGGTCACAGGGTGCTGGCCATGGTCCTGACTGCCTGTACCATACTGGGTATCACATATTTGACCATCATGCCAGTGAGATCCTTTCGTGGAACCCCCACCTTCAGGCCCACTGCAGACGCTGAGCCTGGCTTGATGGGGGCTGGAAGTGTTCCTGTAACTTCAGTATGCCATCCAGTGGGACCTAGAATTACATTGTTCTCTCTAGTCCTGGTGCCCCCGGAGTCACCACAGCTGCTGGGGATAGGCTGCACGGCCAAGGAGAGGTGGCTGTGTCTTGGGGTATGTGTGTGTGTATGTGTGTACCTGGTTTTGCTAAAGAAATGCTGTCATGATGGAGAGTGACAACACAGCAAAGAAGTTAATATTAAGTATTTGATATTTCTTTGTCCTTAAAAGTTTGCTGCCCATTCTTTCCTTTAAAAACATCTATATTGCTTCCCTGGAAAACATATATGTATAAAAATTTTTTTAAATAGTAGAAGTAAAATTAATACACTGCAGAATTGCCAGGCCACACAGTGACAGGTGGGACATCTCCAAAGTGTGTCTTGGAGTGAGTGCCCACTCTATAAATCCATCTGAGGTGTCCAGTGACTCCTAGGATTTTCACTCACCTTAGGGGATTCATTTTATACTTCTCCGCTTTTACTGTCTCAGTCACTGATTGTTTCTGAAAGGGATATGGGCTTGTTTGACCTTTGGACAGATATCTGCAACTTGCTTGCCTTTCTAGTCTTCCCCTCCATCTGGCCTTTGATAAGTCAGACCAGATATATGCTGATGGGAACTGGAAGGAGGGGCCACCCTTAGAAGAAGACTGAAGAATTGCCATCAGCCTCTGAAATCCTCTGGAACGCTCCTGTGTGTGGTGGCCTGAATGACTGACCCCAATTCCTTTGATTACTCCCTTGATTAGGCTTGTACATCCAAGCCTTTGCCATGTGATTTTGTCATGCATCTCAACACTGCTTACTTTGGGCTTTGGAAGATGAGCAGAAGTGATAGATTCCACCAACAGCCATCATAAATGGGCTCGCATGATTTAGCCTGACCTGTTAGTGGTTGCTTCTCCATGTGAGGCAACATGTAGATGAGAAGACATATGGAACAGACATGAACCCAACCTTGCATGCAGGGAAGCAGCAGGTCACACTGGCAGGTGCTACTCCAGTTCACCTTTCAATGTTAACCCTGCTGTTGGATTCCATACCCAGCAGAGTCAGAACCAACCTGAATACTCACGAGCAAGAAATAAATACTTGTTATGGGAAGCCATTGAGACTTTGGGGTTATTTGTTACTGCAGCCAAAGCTGACTTACACACCATGTCTTCAACATGCCCTCCTCAGACAGTGCTGGTTCTCTACTGTGGATTGGAAGATGATACACTTTACCCCAGATCACACTGACCGAACAGGAAAGGACTGATTCCAGAAGAGTTCGGTTACCAAACTGTGTTGGACAGAATTCTAAGATGGCCCTAAGGTCCTTGGTGTGCATATCCTGTGTAATCTCCTCCCCTTGAATACAGGCAGAACCCGTGGGTGTGATGCAGTGTCACTCCTCAGACTAATTTTTATTAATCTGTTGGCTTAATCAAAAGGGAGATCATCATGGGGGGGCTGACGTAACCAGGTGCACCATTAAAAGGAACTAGGCCCTTCCTGAAGTCAGAGGTATTCAGCATGAGAGACCATGTGGCAAGGACCTAGTAGGGATCTTTAGAGCTTAGAGGTCCCTGACTGACCGCCAGCAAGAGAATGGAGACCTCAGTCTTACAATCATAAGGAACTCAAGTTTGAAAACAGCCAGCGATCTTGGAAGAGAACCCAAGGCCCAGATGAGACCTGAGTCGCAGCATGCTTTCAGCCCAGTGAGACCCTAAGCAGAGAATCCGACTGAACCACACTCAGACTTCTGACCTCCAGAACTATGAGTACACAGAATAAGGGGAAATGAGTGCAGGGTAGGCAAATGTGAGATGTGTACGAGGAGCTGAGAAATAGGCAGCCATCTTTGAAACAGTCTAGTTCTGGAATGTAAGCTCAACTAGGAAACCTGTCCATGTGCACAAACCCCGGCTGGGAAGAAGTTTCTCTGGGTGGGCATCCTGTTCCTTTTCAGTTTCTCCCTCGGGGATCTTTTACTTCTTGTGAAGAGGGAGGCATGTTATGTGTATTTATCTTTAGTGCTTGTCACTTTATAATGACTCAGCATCAAGTCTTCCTTCCCCACAAGACTGAATTTCCTTTGGGGAAACTTCCATCCATGTGGATGAGGTCAGATAAATCCCACCTTCAGCTCCAGGGCTGGGCTCTGATTCTCTTAAACCAAACAGCACATCCCATTCCTCAGTCCACAGGCATTGATTCAGGGATGGGCCAGTGAGAGCCGAGCCATGGATTTTTATTTAACTGTTGGAAGGGAAAGAGAGAGCCAGACAGACAGACACAGACACACAGAGAGAGAGACAGGAAGGGAGGGAGAGAGAGAAACACTGAGACTCTCTTTCCTTCTGGACATGAACTGGCCAGCCATCTTGAAACTGTGAGAAGAGAAGCCATGAAGGAATGGAATTAAGAAATGGTGTGGGGGCGTCTGGGTGGCTCAGATGGTTAAGTGCCTGCCTTTGGCTCAGGTCATGATCTCCAGGTCCTAGGATCGAGCCCCGTGTCAGGCTCCCGGCTCAGCGAGAAATCTGCTTCTCCCTCTGCCTCTCCTCCGCTCATGCTCTCTCTCTCTAACTCTCTGTCTCAAATGAATAAATAAAATCTTAAAAAAAAAAAAAAGAAATGGTGTGAGCAAACCTAGTTCTGGTAAAAGCTTTTAGAGCCTGGATCAAACCATACCTGCAGATCTGCCCCTGGTCCATTCAGTTACATGAACAAATTTGGGTTGGATTTTCTGATACCTCCAGCAGCTGGAATGGTTTCTCTTGCTTTTCTTAATTTTTGGATGTCTGAAAGTTTTTTTTATCATAGGTGCAGCTGATCACAAAGTGCTATTTTTTCTATAACAAGTAGAGTATGGACATTCTGGCTTCATAGGGCCCCAGACAGCACCAGGCTTTACCCTGAATTCAGCTCAGATGCACCTTAGGGTCTGATGGGTTACAGGAACCCTGTTTTTGAAAACTGTCTTTACACAGATGATAAAATAGCAAAATAGTATTTAAGGTTTTTGCCTTGAGCCCTAGGCTTTTTCTGGAGATGACTCTCATTGGGGGTGAGAGACTTGCTCCTCCAGTCCTCCGGGGGCCTTCCTTCTTGGGAATTTGGCCTCAGGGGGACTGAGTCATACCAACTGACTCCAGGTACCCAAGTCTCGATGCAGATTTGCTTGTCCAACTGGGCCTGTGCCTCCTGTCCCCCAAGGGTGGCCATATCAGCTCCTGCTTTTCTACCTCCTGAGTTAGCATTGTGCAGGGCAAGAATTCTGGGGTGCAGGGGATGGCCTTTAGCCCTCTTGTATAGTCTGGGTTTGCTCACACAGCACTTGCTCTTTCCAAGTCTCTCTCTCTCTCTTTTAATATTTTATTTGAGAGAGAGAGAGAGAGCATGAGAAGGGGGAGAGGCAAAGGGAAAGGGAGAAGCAGACTCCCTGCTGAGCAGGGACCCCGCCCCCGATATGGGGTTTGATCCCAGGATCCCGGGATCATGACCTGAGCCGAAGGCAGACACCCAACCCACTGAGCCACCCAGGTGCCGCCCCCCACCCAGGTCTCATTTTCTAAGTGGCATCCCGCAGCGCCTTGTCTTATGACTTCTTGTGAAGGCCTCTCTGATCTTTGCACAGTTGCAGGGGGCTTTTCTCTTTGTTGGTGTATAGTCCATGACCGTTCCCATAATCAAACACCCACACTGGTCTTGTCGATTACTTAGCTATCAAAATGAAAGAATAGAAGCTTAGAGATGATATGCAATGATGCCAAGCCCCAATACTGATCCCTGTAAACATGCTCTTAAGGTTCTGGCTCCCCACTTCTCCCCAGGGCCCGACATTCTTGCAGGATCCTTGTGGTGTGCTCACAAATCTCCCCTCCAGTGTCTGGCACTGTATTTTCCAATAAGACCTTTGGATAGGCATGGCTTCTTCCAGTAGCTCCAGTGTATGCCTTGGTCCAGGCTCTGGGAAATCCTTTCTGGGTAGATGCAGGAAGCATACTGCCAGGCATACTTACCTTTTCTCTTCCAGAGGAAGACCTGTATTTTAAAAGCTGTTCTGAGGGGCACCTGGGTGACCCAGTCGGTTAAGTGTCTGCCTTCAGTTCAGGTCATGATCCCAGGGTCCTGGGATCGAGCCCCATGTCGGGCTCCCTGCTCAGCAGAGAGCCTGCTTCTCTCTCTCCCTCTGCCTGCTGATTTGCCTACTTGTGCTCTCTCTCTCTCTGTCAAATAAATAAATAAAATCTTTAAAAGCTGTTTTGATTCTCCATGATGCTTGGAATACCAGCTTTTGAGAGCCTACAATGTCCGCTCATTCCCAGGACAATTTTACAACTTGCCTACTTTTTAAAAGCTGCCTGGCTTTTTTGTTGATGTGTTGGATACTTTCTCCCTATACCTCCAGATCCACTCTCCATTCTTCTCAATTTCATCTGCCCCGGGGCCCTGATTACATTCTAAATGTCTAGAATCTACAGAGACAGTAAATTAGCGATTGCCAGTATTTGTGGGGAGGGCAGAATGGGGAATGACTACTACTAACGGGTGCAGTTTCTTTTTGGAGGATCCCAGCTCCTTTCCCGCCACCCTGAGGATTAGCAGTGGCTGTGCTCCTCCTTGAAGTAAACAGCCCTTCCTTATAGCTACCACTCCCTGGGGTCCAGAAAACTCTCTCTCCCCTTTCCCTTTTAGACATGGGTTGTTAAGGGCTCCCACTGTTGACAGTCCCAAGGTACTTCATGTCTCTTGTTTTCTCTTAACCCTACCCACACCTCTGTAATAATTTCTTCATTCAGCTGTCCTCAATAACCCCATTTGAGTGTGACATCCATTTCCTGCTGGGACCTGACTGGTCCATTTAAAACATCCAGTATCAAAGAATGCACCCTCCAAAGACTGCAAGCGGAATCCTAGAGAAAGTTCTCCAGCATCCCTTTGATTTGAGATGGCTATCTACTTCCAGCATGGCCCGAGTCAGGTCAATTAGTGCTGCCCTATTTTATCTGATCAAGTTTGTTATTGATGTCATGAAGATGCATACCTCTTACTTGGCTGACACCTTAATTGCAGAGAATTCTCACTCTTTCTGACTTCTACTCCCAAACTTGTGGACAAACTCCTCCAGGTGCCCAGCAGAATAGAGTCCTCTCTGTTGTCACAGACCAGCTTTTTCAGGGAATTGTGCTGCTTTTAGATCTACAAATATCTATTACATAAGACTTTCAGCTGCTTCTTACATATATTGCTATTCAACAGCTGAAAGCCATCGAAAAATGCATGCAAACAAAATTTTAATCTAACCAAGAAAATGCCCCTACAACATTGTTCGAATCAAGTTACCATGTCATGTGTGAAGGAGTATATTCCATCGCAGAAAAGCTTTTTAAACCTTATGCTTTTTTTTTTTTTTAAAGATTTTACTTATTTATTTGACAGAGAGAGACACAGCGAGAGAGGGAACACAAGCAGGGGGAGTGGGAGAGGGAGAAGCAGGCTTCCCGCTGAGCAGGGAGCCCGATGCGGGGCTCGATCCCAGGACCCTGGGACCATGACCTGAGCCGAAGGCAGATGCTTAACGACTGAGCCACCCAGGCACCCCAAACCCTATGCCTTTTGACATTTCAGCTAGTATGTTAGACGAGAAGTCTGCTGCAGAAATATCGTTACCAACATTGTCAGGGAAAAAAATGGGCTAGCAAAGAATTAAAGAACACACGTCCACTGAACTTGATGAAATAATTTTTGAGGCTAAGCCCGTGAAATCTTTACAGTGAAACTGTAGAGACACTGGAGAGTTCTCCTTTTGCAGATTTTGATTCCGTTGGTTCATGCAGGCACATCCTGGGGGAGCTGAGACTTTGTTAAGCCCCTAACACATACCCAGGAAGAAAGATAAATGTAGGTGTTTACATCAAGGTGTTAGACATGTGATCCAAGAAGTCGGCAAGAATGTAGCAAAGTAATTGTAGTGATGGTTTAAAAAAAGTAAAAGAAGCAGGGAAAGCTTCAGAAGCAGGTTATGTGGAAAAAAAAAACAAAAAACATCAGAATGTGGCCATTTGTGACTTGTCTACCCAAGCGCGAGCCACCAGCCATTCTCACCCGGATCCCTGCAAGAATGTCCTTGCTGTTTCTCCCTGTCTCAGATGTGCCCTTCCATTCTGTTGGCAACACAACCGGAACGAGCCTTTCAAAAGGTAAGTCAGAGCATTATTTATAATAGTCAAAAAGGTAGAAACAACCCAAAAGTCCATTGGCTGAAGAATGGACAAACAAAATAGAGGGGTCTATCCATATGATGGAATGAAATAAGACACCTGCTATGACACGGATGAACCTTGAAAACATGACGTTAGGTGAAAGAAACCTGTCACAAATGACCACCTATTGTATGCGTCCATTTATATGAAATGTCTAGAATCTACAGAGGCAGAAAGTAAATTAGCGATTGCCAGTATTTGTGGGGAGGGCAGAATGGGGAGTGACTACTACTAATGGGTGCGGAGTGTCTTTTTGGGGTGATGGAAATGTGCTAAACTTGATTGTGCTGATGGTTGCACAACTGTGAATATACTAGAAGAATTGACTTGTATACTTTACATGGGTAAATTCTATGGTGTGCAAATTGCATCTCAATGACAGGTATTAAAAAAGAAGGCATGTATGAAAAATTTAAATTCTGTAGAGTTGCTGGATTAGCCGGGCCCTATGCAGTTTTGAGTAAGCATACATTCAGTTTACTGATACCGAGTTCTTTGGTGTTCATCGGGGCACCAGATATTTTGTGTGTTCATCTGTAATGCAACATTTTCTTTATCCCTGAAACTGTATTATGCACTATACCAAACAGTCTATACATGTTGAGGGTTGAGTATTCCAGGAAACATCTGTACTTGAATTTCTAGGTAAAATAAGAATCAGAAAGAATGGGTCTTGTACTTGCAGTTGATGGAACTGGAAGTCCAGAGTTCAAAATAAGGATGAAGCCCGAGAGATAAGAGTAGGGAAGGGCTGGAGCTGAGGAAGTCTGTGGGCAAAAGCCCAGTTCTACCTACAAGTAGAATGTAGATCATCTTAAGGGGGCGGCCGACAGGTGGGTGATCTCTGGGGCCACAACTGACACCTATAGTTCTTATAAGTGGATTACAAAGAAGTGCCTCTTATTTACAGGTGAATTTTAAACAGTGCTTTCTCTGGGTGTTGTGGGGAATGAATTACCAAAAGGCATCCCTCCCTTTGTCTGAAGCCCTTTGGATCAGGTCATACGGCTTAATTAGTGATCAGAGGGAGGACTGGATTTCTGTCCCCACTCATCACCTTGGCCAAGAGCCTTTGCACTGTGCACACACAACCCAACTGTGCTTGGAGGCCCTGAGGGTACATGTGATTCCTGCTCATTACAAAACTCAGCAACTGAGACAGTTGAGAGAAGCATTTTAAAATTTAAATGACGTCAAGGTACATTTGTCGATGAATCATCAGGACTGCCATCCCGGTGAAAGAGGTTATATGTGACTGGTAATATCTATCTGAATCAGGGTCTAGAAGCTTTACCTGAGGTTTGCTTATCTGACAACCTGGTTCCTTCCTTAGAGAAAGAATGAAATTGTTTAACTGATTGAATTGGGGCTTGTGTGACGTTTCAGCAGAATGTGAATATCTATGTGGATAGTCTAAGGCTGATTCAGAAATTAACACTTGACTGTATGGAAGAGGGGCCTACTTGGTTTGAAATAGTCTCTTTTTTTCTTTTTGGTTTATTGGTAACTATGAGTTGATTTCTCCCTCAATAGTTCAAAGATTTTTTCTGTTTTAGCTCTCGGAATAGTTTTTTTTCTTTCTTTTCAAAGATGTAATATTTCTGCTACCAGAACAGAAAGATGACAAGGATGAGCACCTTCAGGGCTCTTTGAAGACAAAATGGTATTCTGAATTGGCCGTTCAGTAGAGCAAGGGGATACATCTCTAAATCTGGTTTCATGATTTTAGGTTTGTTTAATGGATTTCTTTGCTTAAACTTCAGGTGCACGCATGATAATTTTGAAGAGCAGAGAGATGGACAAATACGACTTGATTTACACATCTTTTCAAAGGCACTACGAAGGTTCTCTCAGGTTTGGTTAAGCTTATTTTTCACACTCTTGGTTGAAGGCAGCTGTGATTTTCCCCCCTCCCTCCACCCTTGAGAAAAATGGGGTGATTTTTCACTTATAAATTCTTCAACCTCAGAGGAGGAGGGGCAGAGTTTTTCTAGAAGGGTTAGAAATGAAGGTGGAGGCAGGGGACAGGTCCTAATTACCACATGGAAGAGTCACTGGTTTAGAATTTCTGTCTTAACGTGGGTTATTTTATCTGACTCCTGGTTGTGTTACAAAAATTAAGATAATGGATGCAAAGGGCTTGGAAGTATCCAGTAAGTGTTAGCTACTATTGTTCTTCTCAGTGTGGCCCATGAGCTTATCAGGCATATTTGAGGACACTGGTGCCAAGGCTTATGGGAGAATATATGTGTGGTTGAGCTTTTGGCCCAGTGAACTTTTCAGAATTTAAGCTGAGGAAAGTGGGGAGGGCCGTAGGGCTGGCTGGCTTGGTGGAAGGCCTTTGTATTGGGGCCCTGAGAGCACCCCCAGGGTAGGGGATAACCTTGTCACAGGAGCTGGGCAGCACCACTATCACTCAGGTTTCTGGGATAACTGGCTGGAAACTCAGACTCTGTCATTAGAGGGTTTTGTTTTGTTTTGTTTTTTAGATTTTATTCATTTATTTGACAGAGAGGGAACACAAGCAGGGGGAGTGGGAGAAGGAGAAGCAGACTTCTCACGGAGCAGGGAGCCCGATGCGGGGCTCGATCCCAGGACCCTGGGATCATGGCCTGAGCTGAAGGCAGACGCTTAACCAACGGAGCCACCCAGGCGCCCCTCAGTGGAGATATTTTTATAGTGTTGTGTCTACCTGGCTTTTCACATGACTTACATTCTGCTTTTACAGCTTTGATGACTCATGAAGCATTTTATTCTTCCTTAAAGCATGTAGAAGTACAATCATAGAGTGTTTCAAATCTGATTGCCATAATTAACTTTTTGAGTTGTATTTGATTTTAAAAATTATAACCTCTTAGTTTGAAATAGTGTAAGATGCACAAGATTTTCTATATACCCATCACCCATCTTCCCCCAGTGATACTTACATAACCCTATTACATTGTTAAAACCAGGAGATTGATGTTGGCATGATACTATTCCAGTTGATTTTTAAGCTTCATTTACTTATGAAATCCTTCATTGATTTAGTTGGGGCATTATCCAGAAGCACCTACCACAAAGTTTGGAATTCCTGGCCCAAGAAATTGTAATTAGTGTCTATGAAAACAACCAGCCACTTATACTTTAGAAATTTCCATGATGACCTCACCTTGTTGTGAGGGCACCAACATGAGTTTCCTCATCATGGCTATTGAGAACCATCCGTATGGGAAATAAGCATATCCACATTACCTTGTTGAAGGGCATTTTATTCTCCATCTGTTGGAGCAAAGGCACTGGCGCCTGTATGGGAGCCCAGGAAAACCATGTCTAGCTGACTCTGTTGCCAAGCAAAATAATACAAGCTGGGGGACTGTTAAATGGACCCTCATACCTAACGGACCTGTGGATAGTGGAGGAGACTCCAACTCCTTGCTCAGCATTGCAGAAGAAATAGTGTGGATGTGAATGTCGATGACAGGGAATTTATGGACTGAGAAGAGGTGACCTTAGTTTTGCACAAAAGGATGAGAAAGAACTTTAGATGAAGGTGAGTGGATGGGCAAAGCGAGGACAGAATCTGGTCCCCTCAAAGAATAGCAGTATCACCAAGGGCAGAGATGAAGATACGGGACACAAAGGGGATAATCATAAGAGGGCCATTTTGAGCATTGACCCTTTCAATTGGCACAACCTGAGAAGGTAAGTAGCAGTGTTCCTGTTTCATAGAGGAGGACATTGAGTCCTGGATATGACATTGGAGATGGTCAGAGAAGACTGAGTTTTGAACAGGGGGTGTGGTTAGTTGTTCTGACATTCTTGACACTCTCCCTCTGCTCTGAACAGTCACTCTCTTTCCAAGGGTTGTCTCTTCTACTTTCAAAACAGGCCTCTTGGGGCGCCTGGGTGGCTCAGTCGGTTAAGCGGCTGCCTTCGGCTCAGGTCATGATCCTGGGGTCCTGGGATCGAGCCCCGCGTCCGGCTCCCTGCTCAGCGGGGGGCCTGCTTCTCTCTCTGCCTCTGTCTGCCTCTCTGCCTACTTGTGCTCTCTATCTCTGTCAAATAAATAAATAAAATCTTTAAAAAAAAAAACAAAACAGGCCTCTCATTCATCCACTGCTTTCCATCCCCTTGTCATCACGCCAGGCTACCATCATGACTCAACTGTACCCTCCTCACTTCCTCTTTACCTCCTGGCTCCTCTGTTCTTTCAACAAAAGCCAGAGAAACCTCAAACAAACGCACGTCCACTCAAGCGAGTCCCTTCATTACAACCTTCAAAAGCTTCCTTAAAGTTACCATTGTGGCCCACATCCCCAGCACGGTCTGGCCCCCTCCATTGCCTCCAGGAGTGTCTCCTTCACCCTCCTTGGTCATGGTGCCCCCACCATGTTGACCTTCCTTCATCTCCTCGACTACATCCTCTCTTTCCTTCCCAGGGCTCCCTTGTGTTGTTTCCTCTGCTTAAAACACTTTTCCTTCCACTTCGCACCTGTGAGATTACTTCTCTGTTATGGACTGAATGTGTCCCCACCCCCAAATCCGTATGTTAAAACCCTACCCTCCAATGTTACGGTGTTCGGAGGTGGAGCCTTTGGGGGGTGGTGAGAATTTGCTGAGGTCCTGAGGAGAGAGCATGTTTCCTCTCCTGCTCTTTGCCATGCAGTGACACAACCGGAAGTCTGCAGTCTCTACCCCGGAAGAAGACCCTTACCCTAGCATGACCATGCTGGCACCCTGATCTTGGACTTCCAGCTTCCAGAACTGTGAGAAATAAATTTCTGTTGCTGATAAGCCACCCAGTGTGTGGTGTTCTGTTATAGCAGGTCAAACAGACCAAGAAAAGGTCTTGCCTTAAATGTCCCTTCTCTACCTCTTCACATTAAAGTAGGTCTCCTATATTCATTTAGAGAAGTCTATTTTTCTTCAGGACACTTTTCACAATATATAATAATGTGTTTGTTTGATGATTTATCTCACATCTCTGTTTCCTATTAGATCGTAAGCTCAACATTGTCAGAGACTTGTTCTTACAGCTCACCCCTGTATTTCCAGGGCCCCACACAGTGCCTAGCATGTAAATAGGCACCCGATAAATACTTGCTGAATGAATAAATGAACAGATGAATGAGTGAATGAATAAACTAATACATAGAAGATTGCTGACAATTCTGACTTTGGGGCTTTTTGTATCAGTTTTTGTTTACTTTCTTAAGGAGCCGTAAGTTTAAAGTTATACCTCCAGCTAGAAGGTTTAAGAATTTGAAGCAAAAGCTTGAAATCTGTGACATGTACCACATAGTGAATGGATCCCATACAACCCAAAAGTCCCCGAGCTCTGACTCGGCATTGCTTCTGAGTTTGCCACAGTGAACTTGACCACAAAGACGCTGCATGCACTGCCAGCCACAACTAGCAATTGAGTAGTGAGCCGGGGTGTCAATCTGAAAAGCATGGGATATTCTTAGATGCTTATTTTTGTAATTGGTTTTATTATGGAGTTGCTAAAATGGGCCCAACCATATGTCTCTCCATCTAGAAAAATCTGAGCACTGATTGCATGAAACAAAACACTTGTGGGGGTATTGGAAAACCACTTGTGTGACTTTGGAGGCAAAGCACTAGAGTGTTTTGCAACTCAAAAGAAAAGTCTTGGCTTGGAGCAATACATGAGAAGTACAATCAAGCAAACATAAAATATTGTTTGTCTCTTCATCCAAGGTCAGCTTAGAATCACCGTCAAAGGTACAGGTAATAATAGAAAACCTGCTGGAGCCTGGAGCTGTAGAAATGGTTGAAATTATTTTAGGTCAAGAAGAGGCAGCCAAGTTGAAAAAGGTGCCCTTACTGAGTGACACCATCAAATGGGTTCAAACGATGTGCTGGAGCAATTGGTGGAGAGAGCCGGAGGCAGCCAGTCCTTTACATTTTGATGAAAGGGGAAACGTCAGGGACTTGGCCTTTTTACCATCTTTAAAATAATGAAGTCAACGAAGCCAGGCTAATTTGCTCAGTGCTGCATGGTATAGCAGCCGGGGAAGGAATTTTCAGTAAGATATCATTGTTCTCCTTTTCTGGCAAGTATTGATATTCACCATGTGGTTCCAGAAATTTACTGTGTCTACATTCCTGAAGTACTTTGTCCCTGAGAGAGGACAGAACCGAACCTGATAATATGATGTCCATGTACCTCAACTGAGGATGAATTTTCTGAAATGGAAAGATCCGTATCACAGTGTTTTGTCAATAGTAATCTGGCCAGGGATTTTTCATTGGTGTTTCCTGATGGCAAGTACTTCATTCAACATAACAATTTTTTTAAATATTTTATTTAATTTTTTAGAGAGAGAGAGATAGCACCAGTGTGAGGGAGAGAGAGAGAATCTCAAGCAGACTCCATGCTGAGCATGGAGCCTGACACGGTGCTCAATCCCAGGGCTCTGGGATCATGACCTGAGCTGAAACCAAGAGTTAGGCGCTTAACTGACTGCACCACCCATGCGCCGCTCATCAGAACAATTAAACAACATCTTTGATGATGTTCATTTTAGAGGGGGTGTAACCAGACGCATGCGGTAAAAAATTCAGCAGTACCAAGAGTGGTCAAAATTAAGTCTCTGTGGGCGCCTGGGTGGCTCAGCTGGTTAAGTGGCTGCCTTCCGCTCAGGTCATGATCCCAGGGTCCTGGGATTGAGTCCCGCATCGGGCTCCCTGCTCAGCGGGGAGCCTGCTTCTCCCTCTCCTCCTGCCTGCCTCTCTGCCTACTTGTTCTCTCTCTCTCTCTGTCAAATAAATAAATAAATAAATCTTAAAAAAAAAAAGAAAAAGAAAATTAAATCTCTGTCCTCAGCGTCAGCCACAGCACCAGCGTT